ACGATCGCCTCCAGATTTCCAAACCTGCCTTGGTAACATCAAGATCTAGGCATTTCATTTTGATTTTTGCAAACAAGTCAAAAGAGGCAGCAATTCAACGCAGACTGTAGAAAGCAGTTCTTATTAAAGGCATGATAATACCACTACTAGATGGATAGTCTTGGACAGACTTTCAACGGACAATCTAGTCCGACCGGCACTCGAGTATCGATGAATCCTCTTTAGGACTTCTAGAAAGTGGCGATCCATTTCCCTTCACAGCGGGTAATCTGCTGTAGTATGCTGGGTCAAGGGACTGTTGCTCATCAGGGACGGCACAAACACCGTGCGTACGTCCTGGCGTGCGAAGTACTAACCCGCCTGCCTCCGCGCGCGCACCCATTCCAAATCTCCAGCAAATTCTTCGTAGATTACCTACCTACATTAGCTAGTAGCTGTTCAAGGGCGCGGAATGCCTTGACCCTATCTGCTTTACACAGGGAGTCCTTGGAGTGATGATTCTCGGGCCTGTGTACTACGTACCTACACTACCTTTTAGGGTCTTTACACAAATCTGCAAAGAAACGATAGCGCGCAGAATGGGCATTGCTCATTTAAAAAGGAAGTCCAAAATCTGCCACGAGTCATGGACCAACAGTGATTCAGTTCTGGCCAGTTCTGGGCAGTCCGGACGCCACAAATGGCTCAGTCGTTCGCAGCCAACGTTGGAGTTATCTGCCACAACCTGTCAGGTGGTCGGAGCTTCCCCCATTCTCCCAAGTGGCGGTGCCAAAATCCGGGGAAAGCGCCCAAACTGTCGCCTAGGTTTAGGTATGTGGAGGGCCAGCTAAGCACCAACCTCGGGTTTGGCGTGTTGCTTGATCACATGTCGGTCTTTCTGTCTGTCTGTCTGTCTGTCGGACATGCGATGACGACGGGACACACCAGCCCAACCAGCAAGTCCCCGGATGCACTTGATCGGCTTTGTGTCTTCAATGCTGTTCAAAACATATTACTATTTTGTCCTGTGCTCGATTCATGACTTGGCTCGTTTCTGATACTTTCTCTTCCTCTGTGCCTACATTCTGCATCTCCAACATCAGTATGATGGGACAGTCGCCCAGACATACTCTCCTCTCCTCCTAGACACCAATTCCATCATCGCAACAGCCTAGACCTCCGCGCGAGCCTGGATGCTCCAGCACCCTTTCATCGCTACCAGGAGTTCGACTTTGCGAAGTATCGTCATGAGTTACAATCGATAGAGCCACGCTTGTACGAGTATTTGTGAATTGGACAATGGCGGCGCAATCCACGTTGCGCCACTCGGCGTCCCAAGATATCCTGGCGGCCTTCATCGAAAAGTACAAGAAGTTATTCCAGGATCGGATTCGACGGACCTCCCGGCGCACGCGAATCCTTGCGACTATCGCTCTTGCTACCACCATCATTCTCGGTGCCGAGGGTGGCCGGCGTTGGTGGAAGAAGCGCCATGCTGAAAAAGAACAAGGCAAGAAATTGGTGCGCACAAACTCCTGGCTCTTCAACAAGGATGGATCGAGAACGATATACGTCCCATACAAGGACAGCACTTCCAAGATCGTCATTCGTAGGACGAAACCGACGACTTATGAAGCGCATAGACGCTTGTTCTTGAATCCTCCCAAGGTGTCCGGTCTTGGTGATGGTACCGTGCCGTCAGCACAGACAAAGCCGGGTCTCAACCTTGCCTTCTTGCACCAGTTCCTCAGTTTGATGAGCATCATGATACCCCGTTGGTCCAGCAAGGAAGCCGGATTACTTGTCAGTCACGGCATGTTTTTGATGCTTCGAACATATCTATCCCTCGTGGTGGCCCGGCTTGATGGTGAGATTGTGCGCGATCTCGTGGCCGGTAATGGCAAGCAATTTCTTTTGGGTATCGCCAAGGTGAGCAGACCATATATCCGTCCTGTGAGTATCATGCTTGCCAAGTACTAACATGCTGTTTGCAGTGGTGTGGCCTGGGAGGTTTTGCTGCGTATACCAACTCCATGATCAAGTATCTAGAGTCCAAAGTATCAATCGCATTCCGAACACGACTGACAAGATACATTCATGATTTGTACTTGGATGAAAATCAGAATTACTACAAACTCTCTAACCTCGATGGAGGGATTGGCCAAGGTGCAGATCAATTCATCACGCAGGATTTGACGCTGTTTTGCGCGTCGGCGGCAAATCTCTATTCCTCTCTCGGAAAACCTTTTGTCGATATTTGCGTTTTCAATTACCAGCTCTACCAATCCCTTGGCCCTCTCGCCTTGACAGGCTTGCTCAGCAATTATTTCCTGACCGCAAGCATTCTGCGCAGACTATCGCCACCGTTCGGAAAGCTCAAGGCCGTAGAAGGACGCAAGGAGGGTGACTTTCGAGCTCTACATGCCCGTTTGATTGCAAACGCTGAAGAAGTCGCTTTCTATGGCGGTGCCGATATGGAGAAGACGTTCCTTAACAGAGAATTCAAGTCGCTCAAGAATTGGATGGAGGGCATTTACATGCTCAAGATCCGCTACAATATCCTGGAGGACTTCATTCTGAAATACAGCTGGAGCGCTTACGGGTATCTACTGTCCTCACTTCCAGTTTTCCTGCCTGCTTGGGGCGGTTCGGGTGGTGCCATGGAAATCTCCAACAGCTCACAGAAGGGCAGCCGCGAACGCGGTCGTATGAAGGACTTCATCACCAACAAGCGTCTCATGCTGTCGCTCGCTGATGCTGGAGGAAGGATGATGTACTCCATCAAGGATTTGGCAGAACTTGCTGGTTATACCAGCCGCGTTTACACCTTGATATCGACACTTCATCGTGTTCATGCCAACGCCTACTTTGCCCGGCCTAGCGGCAATGAGCTATACTCACTGTCTGACGTTCAAGGCACGGTACAAAAAGGTTTCGACGGCATCAGACTTGAGAATGTGCCGATTGTCGCGCCTGGTCTGTGGCCGCAAGGTGGAGACGAGTTGATGGAGTCTTTGAGCATGATTGTGCGGAGAGGGGAGCATCTGCTCATTTCCGGCCCGAATGGTGTCGGTAAGAGTGCAATTGCCAGAGTCCTTGCTGGCCTATGGCCCGTCTATCGAGGACTTGTGAGCAAGCCAAAGACTGTAGGCGAGGACGGAATAATGTTCTTGCCGCAGCGACCGTATCTCAGCATCGGTACACTCCGAGACCAGGTCATTTATCCCGATGGAGAGCTTGATATGCGCCTCAAGAGAAAGTCAGAGCGGGACTTGCAAGCTGCTCTCGACGCTGCACGACTGGGATATCTTCCCGACCGTGAGGGTGGCTGGGACACTCGCAAAGAGTGGAAGGACGTCTTTAGTGGTGGAGAGAAACAGAGAATCGGGTTTGCGCGTCTGTTCTATCACGAGCCCCAGTATGCAATTCTCGACGAAGGGACAAGTGCGGTCTCGAGTGATGTTGAGGGCCTGCTCTATGAAACTTGCAAAGAGAAGGGCATTAGTAAGTTGCATAGACTCTACCTTGATTAGCCTTGGGCAGTACTAACTAGCGACAGCTGTGATCACGGTGTCTACTCGCGCATCTCTGAAGAAGTATCACACGTTCAACCTCGTCCTGGGCCTCGGTGAGAGGGGTGATGAGTGGGAGTTTGAACGCATCGGAACGGAGAGAGAGAAGATGCAGGTAGAGCGCGAACTTCAGGATCTGCGTGAAAGATTGGCGCAAGTGGAACAGTGGAAGCAGCGGCGCGAAGAGATTGAGAAGGAGCTGGCGCAGGTGTGGACTGAGGGCGGCGAGTCCTTAAGTCCGCCGCCATATGTTGCTGAGGAGACTCAGAACGATGATTCAGATGGCGCTGAGTTTGTCGAAGCCGAAAGCGGATAGACCTGTATCATTCTAGGTTCCTATTTCATAAATCTCAACCCCCACATTAAGATTTAAATGTTTTCTCTGCGTATCATAACACATCAGTGCATGCTACTGCGAGTCCTGGACCTCGGTCGTCTGCTGTGTGACGCCCTGACAAAACCTCTTCGAGCAAGACAATTGGTCAGTGAGGAGAAACAGTTTAGCGATTTACCAGTCTAGAACCGTGACTAGTATTCAGCTATGGAAGAGACCACCGCATTGCACCAGTCTCTTGTCAAATTACGGCCAATTCTTAGGACTATCTATTGTCTCATACATGGAAAAGGAACGCCATTGAATAGCTCATCCACTCACCGAACCCCGCGAACAAGCCTATAGTCAACATTTCGCCGTGGTCTCAACTGAGACACAGCACGCGAAGACAAAATGTCTCGATCTACAGAACTGATGACAAAAGACATAGCTAGCTGGTTAGTCAGTCACGATTCCAGGGCAAAAAGACCTTTTGTGTCTACGGTACCTTGGTTGACGCAGAATCCGCTTCTCACGTTATCCTACATTTGAGACCTTTGTCGTCACGGACCTGGCACTTATAGTCCTCTGTCCGTCTGGAAGTGAGAATGTTCTGGTCTCCAGGGGAAAATATCATTTGCAAAAGTGACGGCTGCAGTGCTGATGTGGTGACTGCACTCGGAGTCTGACAGCGGTTTGGGCTTTGCGTAAAGTGATGCGACTGTTGCAATACTCTCCTTGAATCCCGCACAGTCTAAATCACCATTGCACGCTCAAAGAAGAGAACTAGCCAACGGCACGGCCTCGAGAACGTGGGATCTAGGGCACGCATGCTTGCCTTCATCCTCATTATCGTCTTCGTACCGTACCTCACAGGGTCAAGGCCACAGAGCCCCATAGAAAATCACGAGGACACAGTTCCCATTTAGGAGGAGCACATGAGGTAGGCCAACGAGCAAAGGACAGAAGCAGCAAAACTCGCAATTCGCCATGTTCACCCCGGTCTACGGGCCGGGGCCGCCTCGCATGTCAAGCAGCCACGGCCACCGCTACAGCAGCAGCAGTCGACACAGCAGCATCCAACACCTGCCCGTCATTGAAGAGGTGCCGCCGCCGGCGGAAAAGTCGGCGCTGCGCCCCCTTGTATCGGCGGCCTTTTGGTTCCCTGCCAGTCCCCCGCCGACGTACCACTTTGGCGTCGGCTCCGATAGCAGTGGCGTTGAAGACAATGTGGAAAATGTCTGGGTACCGCCCATGAATGGGCCAAGGCGGACGAGGAGAAGGACGCGGTTGTGGTATCGGAGACCCGCGTGGCTCGCAGGACGGGGTGGCTGGCGACGATTGGCCCTCTTTGCCACGTTTGTTCTTGTCTGTGTGGTTGGGCTTATACTAGGCTTGACCTTGGGCCTGCGTCGAAAGTATGTTGCTTCCTCCCTAGCAAAAATCATCCGGCTTATGAACTTTTGCTCCGTCTCCCGAGAAGGGGAGGGGGAAAAAACACGTCTTGGGCAACTACATGTCAAAACACCAGAGAAGTGCTTCTTGCTGATTCTACGTTCACAGTAATCCCGACTCGCCAGACAGCGTCATGGCGGCCAACCAGTTCCCGGCCGGATCCTACGCCTTCAAGACGACGCTGGCCAGCACGAGCACAGCGTGCACCACCAACGCCGACACGTTTCGGTGCTACCCCCACACGAGTAGAAATGCTTCAGCGACAGGTTCCGAGGCTACATTCCTATGGACCATAGCTCTTTCGTCCCAGTCATCCTCCTCCTCCTCCTCCTCTTTGCAGCAACCGGAATATATAGTCTCAGCGGCGGCTTCTAGCAGCCCGTTCATGATCAGCTTCACCAACGTCTCGGTCACCGTGTTGGATCGCGGCAACGACGCCGAGCGGCTCTCGTTTCAAATTCCCATGGACCTGGGCGTCGTGCCGACAGGGGACGACGGAGGCGGCGGCGGTAGCGCCACGTGCTGGTTCAATGGTACGGCGACTTTGGGTGCCACGATATGGACGCGGCGGCCGCCGTCACTTTTGAATCGGAGTAGTAGTAGTGGTGGTGGTGGTGGTGGTGATGGTGGCAACGGCAGCAGTAGTAGTAACGGGACAGAACCCGTCGGTATCGTGGAGACGGCTCGGACGGCGACCTCTGCTTCCTCTACATCTAGCTTCACGCCCTGGCCTTTTGCCGTCGAGATCGAACGCTCAGCAGCTGCGGCGCCCGACGTGCCGACCTGTGTCAACACCAAGGGAAACACTCTGGGACAATTCGGTGTCGCTGCGGGCGGTGGTAGTTGTATTTGTGTATACGACAATTTGGGCACAGCATCTTGATGTTGAGGAGTTTGATCGATGGTTGATGGGGTTTCATTCAATATGCCATACTAAGTAACAGTCTGGCTTGCATATATGGGTTCGGGGATTGTGGGATGTTTCTGAGCGAGCCTTTTCCAATATACTTGCCGCAGGGGGGGTAGTGTTTTTGATTGTTTTATAGTTCATTTATCCCCAGTTGACATGTGGGCGGTTTTGGGGTTTCCGGTATGGTGAGCAGTCAGATAGAAAAATTAAGCTGAGTGAGTTGTCCTGCGTCTAAATATCCTTTTGAGGAAAAATAGAAAGAAAGAAAAAAGTCTAAGAAAGAATGATGAGCCCAAAGTTGCCATGTGGTGAGATGAGGCATAATGGGAATCTATTTTAGATGATGACGATCTCGGAGATGCATAGCTGATATCTATTGTATATTACTCCTGCTGTCTCTCCAACTATGATGGTTATGGAGATCATTCAGCAGCCCCAGGGGCAGGGAAGAGGGAGGAGTCAAGAGAAATGAAAGGGAAAGAAACTGTCAATGAAATGAATAATATTTCGTGTCATAGTAACGAGTATGAAAAGGTATATCAAAAGACCAAGTACATGGAAATCAAAGAGAGAGAGAAAAATATTACTCAAGGATATAAAGTACGAAGAATGGAGTGAGTATACACACATCAGATTAGCCTCGAATGATCAAAAACTTATATTCAACTGAATTTTGTAATGAGGATCAAAAGACGGCCCGACATCAGTATCCCAGTTGAACCTTTTGTCAATGGATGTAGAGATCTGAGTTCTAAGAGTGGACGTCACCCCATACCACACGGGCGGGCACGCTGCAACAGCCTCAAACGAGTAGGTAGTCCCGGGGGCGGGCGAGGGTAAGAATACCAATAACATAGGCACCTAGGATCATATGTACGCTTCGAGTAAGGTTGCAAGCAGTCCTGATTTGGGGACCCCGAGGCAAAATGCTTATCATAAACCCCCTTGCTAGCTTGTTCAGCTCTCAATTATCTATGATGCGTAATATTGTAGAGTCAAAAAGACCTTGAGTGTGCGGCAGCATGCGACCGATGAGCTGCAGTCAGTCCTGGTAATCAATCAATCAAGATACCGTACCGTTGTGGTGGCTCTGCGCATCTGGTTCGCTTCTCCCCCGACTCCCGAGTATGTGGTTCGGTGATAAGCAACATGACAGAAAAGTAAAACTCACAGACTGTACGTAATTCCGATTAATACTCGAGGTTCTGCATTTCTCCTCTTTGCAACCTTCACTGGACGTCATGCATACGGTAAGGCGGATGCGGATACTCTGGCCTGGTTTCTCCATCGTTTCTGCATGCTCTTCCCCCCACGCCCCCTAGTCGTGGTTTTCTTGGTGGAATCCCCAGAGATGACTCTCGCGAAGACGTCTTGGCAAGTCGTGTAGTTTACATGAGTATCTACTTTCTGTAAGCTTGAACTAGTTTATAGCAAAGATTTGGCCAGCATCTCATGGCAAGATGTAATGAATTCCACCATCATGTGTAGCTTGCATTTTACTTATGGCGGAAATGATCGTGTACGATGGCTGTCACTACTCGTATGTACCATGGCTATCAGTCGCAGCTATCTAACGGCAATTGTGGAGAGTTTTACCAGTGAAGGACCCCTGTCTCCCGGCGTCCATCTCGACAGGGCTGGTACCGGTAGATTATCTCGGTGGACGATCACAGCGTGCCATGAAGAATTGCAGAAGTAGATTGGCGAATCAGCCAGTACCACTCACATATCCTCGATCGCTTTATCAGCCTGGAAAGATAAACGAGCTGCCGACAGGCGCAGCTTATAAGTCGAGCTGTGCCCCATGTGCGCTTCTCATTGCTCGAGACTCGCTGCTGCTTTGAATTCATCGCTTTCGTTCAGCGTCTCTTGGGTCTTTCTTGCCGCCTATCCAGTGCCTTAGAAGCCGGAATATTGATTCAAGTGCCTCGAGTGAGACTGAGAAACGGCCTATTGTCGCTCCACGGGACTAGATTAGGTGGACCCTTCCGGCGGAGCGTGCCGAATTCACGGAGGGCGCTATCTTGCCTTGGCTTCCACGAAATACGGTTGGCGATATCCAGGTCATCACAATGAGCACGGAGGAAGTGAAAAAGAAGCCAGTGGGGGATAAGCAGCCAGAGCTAGGTGGCTTGGAGGGTGAGACTGTCTTAGCAGTCGAGAGTGGTGTGCAAATCAACGCCGCAGGCTACCGCGACCAGCTGAAGCGACAATACAACCTAGTAGGACTTGCTGGAATCGCACTGACGGTTGACAATGCGTGGGCGGCTTTGGGATCCTCAATCTCGGTTTCGATAGGTAAGAAACGACTCACAACCTGTTGACCAGGGAAAAATCAGTGATATCATGAGTTTGCAAGGATTGGGCTGATACCGATGCAGCTAACGGCGGTCCTACTGGTCTTATCTTCGGGCTTATCGTTGCCGTCTTCTACTATACGTTCATCGGGCTCAGTCTTGCCGAGGTAAGCCACTCATCAAGACAGACCTTTTTGCGAGTCCAGGACCATATACTGACGCTGGACGGACGAAGCTCGCCTCCTCGGTGCCAACGGCTGGAGGTGTATACCACTGGGCGACAATCGCAGCCGGTCCCAAATGGGGCCGCGCTGTAGGATTCTTCACCGGCTGGATCAACTTCTATGGCTGGTTGTTCGATTTGGCGGCTTTGATCCAGATTGCATCAAACATCTTGGTGCAGATGTACGCAATCTACCATGGTGGCTATGTTGCAGAAACATGGCATGTCTACATTGGTTATATTTTGGTGCTGTGGCTATCGACAGCTGTAGTGATCTTCGCCAATAGGTTGGTGCCGTACACGCAACATGCAGGCATGTTTTTTGTCATCGTAGGAGGCATCATCACCATTATCGTCGTGGCTGCAATGCCAAAGCAGCATGCTTCGAACACCTTTGTCTGGAACTCGTTCGACGAGAACAATTTCACTGGCTGGCCAGGTGCCGTAGCTTTTTTGACAGGAGTGCTGAATGGCGCTTTCACCGTGGGAACTCCAGATGCCATCACCCACATGGCCGAGGAGCTCCCCCAACCCAAGAAGGATCTGCCCAAGGCAATTGGTCTCCAGATCGGCCTGGGAGGGTTGTATGCGTTTGTCTTTGCCATCACTCTCGGGTACGCGATTACAGATATCGAGGCGCTTCTTGGAGACAGCAACAACTACCCACTAGCCACGATATACGCCCAGGCCACGGGCAGCACTGGAGCCACGTTTGGTCTGCTTTTCATTCTCTTGATAGGCACCTTGTGCTGTTGCGTTGGGACTGTGCTTACCTGCTCTCGAATTTATTGGGCCTTGGCTCGTGACAATGCCGTCCCATTCTCGCCGCTCTTTGCGGAAGTCAACGAGAGCCTCAGCTGCCCGATCTATTCGACTCTGTTTGTGTCAGTAGTGGCCACGGGATTGGGTGCGATTCCTCTTGGCAGCCCGACCGCATTTGTCAACCTAACCGGTTCCTTCATTGTGTTGACAACACTATCATACGCGATTCCATTTGTGGCCAACATGGTGACGGGAAGAAAGTATTTCCCAGCAGGACCATTCCATCTCGGCAAGTTTGGATATGCCATCAACGGCTTGGCGGTGCTTTTCATTGCATTCTTTGGAATATTCTTCTGTTTCCGTAAGTTTGATTGCGCATTGTTGAAATGTGAGTCATGTGCTAATGTGATGCTGTCCAGCATACGCGTACCCGACTGATGCGGAAACCATGAATTACAACTCGGTGATCTTGGTCGGAGTTATAGCACTCTCTGCCATTTGGTGGGTGCTTCATGCCATCAGGAACTACCCGGGACCGAAGGTGATGCATTTGTATATTCACGACGACTCGGTGGCTGTAGAACAGACGGGTCTCTCAGAGAAGCCTCCTCGGTCTTGACAGGACACTCTCATGGGGGGCGTCGTTACTGGCGGACTAGGCGCTGTGCTTCTGAAGCGGGACAAAATACAAATGTATCATGACACTATTTTGGGAAGAGGAAAAAAAACAAGTAAGACAGAGCAACAAGTGAGATGGATGGTGTTGTACATATAACATGGTCAAGGGACACGAGGATGGCTGTGTAAGTTACGTAAAAAGTGCCCTGCCCAGCGGCGCATTTCCTAGGCAGTGTTTTCACTAGGCACAATGGCAGGGGCGCATGAGAAACAAACCATACTGTCGTTCTCTAGGTGGCCTGCCTATGGCAAAGAAAAACACCGATTCGAAAACGGGACCATCTCCCACCTAAATCAAATCTTTCAATATCTCTTTTGATATCATGCAGTCTCTTCATACATGTTGAATTTAAGTTCTTCTAGTTCTGCATAATGCGGCTGGACATTTCCGCATGCTGGCCGTCACTAATGTACCCTGCCGAGCCTGCTTCTACCCGCATACTTACGGAGTACATCTTCACTACCTTGATACCGTACCTACTTAGTTATTAGAATCCGGCTAACGGCACATGCTTTTGGTGGTCAAATGCCTGATATTCCCAGTAAACTACTACGCTGGAGCCAAAAGAGGCCCACCCACCATCGCTGGCGATAACCGTTGACTCGACGAGAAACCAGCTGTGGGCGCATTGGTGCCGGCAAGCCGGTCATATTCTTCAATGAAGGCTGAATACGTCATAGGCGCACCACTTGATGCGAATTTTCTGTGATGCCTTGACTAGATTCAGGTTTGCAAATATGCTCTGGCGAAATTTTCGCAATGCAGCTTGTCACTGATGAGGACTAACCAAAGTCCACGCCTCAGCCACCTAGGAAGACCCCTAGTACAGCTGGAACTTGAGACTTTCCGCAGGCGGCAGCGAAGGGACTGCAGGTCATACGTACTCTGCAATGTACCTACACTACCAGGCAGGTTAGGACGGCCAGAGCGTGGCTGTAAGTCGGTACATGCGCAATTCAAGATTGCCAAGAAATTGTCACTGCCTCCTGCAACCTTTTGACTTCTTCTATCTTTAGCTTACTACTTACTACACGGGAAAAGACGAGATTCTGTTTTACTTGATATCATTAGCCTCATTTCCATTCCCTCGCTATTCTCTATTTTCTCCTGTCTATCTCGGATGTATGTAAATCACATGTAACAATGACAGAGAACCCAGTAACCCTAAACGACGACCAGACCGGAGCTGATCCCGCGACGCCAGCGCCATCGCCACGGCAGCCCGCCGCTACAACCCCTCCAACGCAGCCATTATTAGGGTCGCTGCCGTTAACCCCACCTCAGTCGCCAAGACTCGGGAGCGACTCGAAGGCATCTCTCGATACGGCAGCTTCCCGGCGCTCGACCCGGTCGCATCAAGAATATTTGGACTCCTTGCAACCGCCGTCGGAGCTCGAGTTTGAGCGCCTGGCAAAGGTGCAACAGGAACGGGAGCAAGAGCATAAGCGCCGCAACCGTCACCTGCTACAGCAGTCGCACACTATAGCCCAGCAGTCTGCCGACGCTGAGCACGAATTTGCTGAGGCAAATCAACACCACAGCCTGCACAATTTCCTTGCACATGCGCGCAGGAGCAGCGAAGGACGAGCCATGGCTGCCGCACAAGCCGATGAGGAGACGGGCAACGTCCAGTCAAAGGCCGCTGCTCTGATACAACGCAACTACCGTGGTTATCGTGTGAGGCGCGAGATGAAGGGCCTTGGTATTGACGCCAATACAAGATGGACCCATGTGATTAGAGATGCACAATGGAAAAGCATGAACACGCCCAGGTCTCGCGGCGACAGTCTCCTTAGCCCTGGTAACACGGCAGTCGAGGCAGACGCCGACGCCGATTCCGCCAAACCTCGGTCCAGTCAATCTGCCGCAAGGCAAAACTGGAAGAAGGCTGCAATCATAGCCAGAAGGGCTGGAGGCGACGAAGATTCTGACCACTCTGATGATGACTCGGACTCGTCAGATGTTGAAACCAACCCCAATATGACTGCCGAGCAGAGGAATGCTTTGCGCCAAAGACGCGCTTCTCTCAAGGAAAAGAGGAGGAAACATGCCAAAATGATGGGTCTGCAGTACTTTCTCGAAATGGTCGACCTGAAACACAGATACGGATCCAATCTACGGCAATACCACGAAGAGTGGAAAAGAGCAGACACCCACGAAAACTACTTCTACTGGCTTGATTATGGCGCTGGCAAGAATATAGAGCTAGCGTCGTGCCCGAGAGAACGTCTAGAAAGGGAGAGAGTCAGATACTTGAGTCGCGAAGAAAGGCAAGATTACTTGGTCAAGGTGGACTCGGAAGGCCGCTTGTGTTGGGTAAAGAACGGGCTTCGTATCGATACGACTGAAGAGTGGAAAGACAGTATCAACGGCATCGTTCCTATCGATGATGATACACCGGCCTATGTTGCTCAGGTCGAATCACACTCGCAAAATCAAGATGGCGTGCCTAGACCACAGTACCACCCTCCAGAACATGTCGACGACGATGCAATCTCTGAAGCGAATTCGGACGCATCCGAGTCGGAACTCGAGGCTGCACGGGCTGCCAAATATGCCACCCCTTCATTGGACGACGCAAAGGGATTTAAAAAAGTCAAGCATGTCTCAGCGGCCACAATATTCAACAAACTGCTTCGAAAGTCCGTCAAGAAGAATACATGGATTTTCGTGGCTGATACCTCATTTCGGCTATATGTAGGCATCAAGTCTAGCGGCGCATTTCAACACTCGTCCTTCCTGCAAGGCTCAAGGATCTCTGCTGCAGGTCTTATCAAAATCAAGGATGGGAGATTGTCCAGCCTGTCTCCCTTGTCCGGCCATTATCGCCCTCCTGCCTCGAACTTTAGAGCATTCGTTCATTCACTCAAAGATGAAGGCGTCGATATGAGCCATGTCAGCATCAGTAAAAGCTATGCGGTACTAGTTGGCCTGGAGGCTTACATCAAGACACGCAGAAAGGGCAAAGAAGCTTTGCAAAAGATGACACACGGCAAAGAGAAAATCCTGGACCCTGCAGCAGCCGTGAAACGGAAAGAAGCAGCAAAGGATAAGAGTAAAAGTGCAGAATTGGAAAGGCGACACTTGGAGAAGGAATCAGAAGCCCGAGAAGAGAACCGGGCTGGTGCGAAGTTTATGCAGAAACTGGGCCTCAGATCGCGAGCATCGTCCGTACAGCAGTCGAGTGGAATTGCCAGCTAATGATGAATGATACCCGCATCATAAGATGCTGATTTCAACTAGATACTTAATAAGGAGGAGTAATGGGTGGGTGCATCAGGTAAAGCTTGACATCAAGGCTTTTGAGGATATCACATCGGCGTTTTGGCAGATAACATGAGGTTATGATCATATTATATTATATTATATACCCTTAAATTTACGTTCATAATGATATTCTATCTTGGAATTTGGAAGTGAGAGAGGGAGCGACTCAATTTGTACGGCGGACATGACTTGGATGTCTCACCAGAGTGTGCTTCCCGTTTTGACCTCCTCTAACAAACCAGAGTCTGCGAGATCCTTGGCAAGATCAAGTAGCATGAGATCGCAGTCTTTGTGTGCCAATACATCAATACTAACTGGAAGTTTCTCTTCCATATATGTGATGTTACTGAAGTATGGAACCTCGCCGATAGGGAACACGGTCTCTGGGCCTTGTGACTGAGTGCTGTAGTAGTACATCAGGAAAGCAGACCATGAACTGACATTGGGCGGCGAATAAACCGTATTCCGGTATGACTGTAATGGTTTGTTAGTAAGACTGGTCATCTTTCATGGCCAAGTAACGTGAATGGAAGGAGGCAGGACACGAACCTCTTCGCCGGCAAACATGGGGATCAAGAACAGACTCTCGCTGCACGTTTCCTCTGAGGCCTTGACAACGTTCTCACCAAACCACTTCTTAAAGAACATTAGTCGCTCATAGCTCTCCTCCACATCTTCGTCGGTTGTATTTATAACAGTCGCGTATCTTGCAGCCGGGTATGGGTTGATGAAAGGCTGCCGGCCGCCGAACTTGGCCGCGTAGTCGGCCTTGAAGGGATCAATGACCTTTTCAACCTGATTTTTCCAGTTGAGATTCGCGGCCACCATCTGCATGTAGCTAAAGAACTCGGTGCCGGGCTTATTGGCCGTCGTGTTCCAAAACTCGCCGATTGAGGTGGTGACAATAGTCGCATTGAGATGATCCGCCAGCTTGTCTATCCACGCACCGTAGACGGCCTGGCTGGCATTCTTGGCCACGGGGAACAAATTACCGGGCACGATCAGCTTGCGCGGAAACGCCGTGTACCCGTCCGTGAGGTTGGAGTCGGCGAGCCAGGCCTTTCCAAACGACTGCAGCGTGTACGGCGAGCGCGTGTGGTAGCCGACGGCGTCAAAGTACTGGCCCTCGAGCATGACACCGTCGTTGGAGGTGGCGCCAAAGGACGGCCTGAGGGCAAAGACGCCCTGCTTGGAGGCAGGGATGCGTATGCTACCGCCAGTGTCGGTGCAGATGGAGACGTCGACCCAGTCGTATCCTGCGGTTGCTGCACCGGCACCGGCGGATGATACGCCCGTGTCTTGGTAGCCGTCTCCCCGTGGGTTGAAGGCGTCGCTATCAATAAGAATATATTCTTAGTACTCAGACTGTCTCCTTCACTTTTATTAAATAATCAAAATTGGCAGAACCTACTGATAGTCAACCCAGTCTGCGGTGACACGGTCTGAATTGGCAAACTGCGACGTCTTTGTCTTGCCAATTAACGTAGCGCCCATGTCGACCAGTCTCTGGACAACAGGGGCGGTAGCATTGGCAGCTTCATACAGCTTGGCCCAGGCACGGTTACCATTCGTCGTCTTGATTCCCTTAATATCAATAATATCCTTGACGGTCACCCGTAGACCCTCAAAGGGCCGGCTCTCCGTGGTGGTGTTGGCCGAGTAGAGGCGGGAGGGAACGGGGATGCCGACGGTCGCGTCACTCATCGTGTTCACGCCGGCGTAGCGGTACGCTCCATCGGTGCCGTTGGGAAGAATCCCATTCATGAATGCTTGCAGCTCATCATGATATACGCGATATACTGGCCCAAGAGTGATGTCTGAACCCGCCATGTATGCAATATATGGGCCCCTAGGAATTGTGTCGTTGCAAACAATAGCATATTTCTGGGATGATTCTTCATCGAAGAAGACGAGCTCGGTCCCATAGACCTGCGCTAGACAAGATGATATGTCATTATTGTAAGAGCTTCCTCCTTGTAGGTACACAGCTATTGTATCGTCAGCACCATGCCCAGTTCGTGATCATTCAGTCGTTTTGTATTCGAAGATAGTTTACTCTTCATGAAAGACTCCTCGTATACGTCGTCATGAGTCTTGTAAGTCTCTACTTGACTCTGGACCCAGTCACAAGTGACAGGCTCTTGGGTGGAGGTGAAGACCGTCAATGGGGTAAGCAAGGATTTAAAAGAAAACCCGTCACAATCACTTGTACTCAATGAGAGTTTTGACGTCCATCCTGAGAAGTATCCAAGGAGTTGATTGCCTGAAGTGCCGGTTAGAGACACCGAATCTGGTATGTTGGACCCGAGGGATCCTAGAGATACAGATGCTTTGAGAAGTTGCTTGTAAGAAGGCATCGTGACCAGGTTGGAGGAGTTGTTCATTCGAGTGGCATTTTCAATTCATGTGGAAGACTATTCATATGAAGAGCTGTGTGAAGTTTAAATATTGTCCATCCATCGAATGACATGCGCCATATTGTTCCCATGCCGGTTCCGACATCTTGGGGTTCTTACCAAGCTTTGCATCATTTCAATAGTCTATCAGCTTTGCCAAGCAGAGATACGGGTCAACAGTGGGTTATAGGAGTGTCGGGGCCCACTACCTACCAAGGAGTCTGTCAGCATTTCTGGTCTCTATCGGGATGTTACCGATGGAATTGATTTCAACTTGAAAGCGCCGACAGGCGCAAAGAGGTTCATGCTCCACGTTCCTGCGTGGCGATGTTGACATGGATCCTTGGACCTGATTCTTTGGAACATTTAAATGGAGTTATGCCTGGAGATGACTTGACCGTCCCGATTTATCTCAGTCAAGATGCCAATTATGCTCAAAGGTTTAGAATCATGAACACCATTTACCCAGTGTATGTTCAAATGCAGAGAGATCCTGTATACACCTTTGGCTGACTTCATCGCGTAATGGACCGATTCGAGTATGCGCTCCCGGCGACGGATCTCATGCCGATAGCTCGGCCCACAATCGGTCGGAAGGCCGCCGGCGCCGTGAATGTCTGCCGTTGGCTGGGTTTACAAAAAAAAAAAAAAAAAAAAAAAAGGCTGTGAATATGAAATCGTACTTACCGCCTTGACTTAGGAATCATACTTGAGCTCCATTTGTGATACTTAGTCAATGAGTAGATAATTCTGATGAAATCCAAGAATATACACATATACTTGGAAGAGGATGGGTTTTCTAATGCCCACCTAATAAATATTCTGTTCTCCTTCCCCCCAATATATAATAAAAGGGGTTGAAAAGTTTATAATAATTATTGATTGAGAATGCGCTCTAGTCACTGTAACTGGCTTGACGTGTACTAACTGGTATTTATCTACCTAGGTAGGTAGTGCATAAATCCACATCCAGTCATGAGTTTAGACCTATATATGAAGTCCGTATCATCATATAAGTCGATCGTTATTATAAATGGCATAGATCGTGCACAACAATCAGTGGCAAGTTGAGCCCATCCCTTTACAAAGAGATGCTAGTTGGTATCATAGGAACAATCATTTTAGTGAGTATATAAGTACATCGCATCTGCCCAAGATTCTGCTTTATTCGGTATCAATGCCTTTGTGTATTTCTCCGTCTTCGTTCTTTGCCTTTACTAGGGTATAGGAAGGGGGCCATTGCGGCCAATGGCCACTTGTAACAACTCTAGTCGCTCAGGTGTTTGGAACGCAGGGCGAATCCCATCGTAGCCGCAAACATTATGCCCTTGTCTTGTCGCTTCCAGGGGAAAAGACAGGGCCCGTATTATGTAGATTACTACAACAGTGGACTCTTGGGCTGATGCGGGTCTGCAATCACATTACACAGTGCTCAAGTAGACGTAACGTGCAAAAGTTTCCAGCCGACTTACATGCTGCAACTCTCAGGGAGTATTCTGATTAATTCAGGCCTCTCTCTTAAAAAGAATGTCATGATGGAGTTAAACTGGTGAGCTACCACTGACTATTGTCTTGTAAGACAAAGTGGTCACACCATTAGTATAGTCTACCTGGGTCTGTGAGAATGCCTAGACAATTTCAGGGGTATTGAGTTGCAAGCAAACACTAGGGTAACACCTAAATTAGTTGGAGAGTTGCACCTAGTCAGTAATATGACTGCTCTATCATTCAACACCTAGAAACCTGGACAGCTTCAATATCGCCAACAATATTGTGCCTTCCCAGTTCTTTGAGCGACGAGTTGACAACATAATGGATGATCATTTTCCAAGAGTGAAATAAAATATTTTGTGTTCTCAAAGAGCACATCCATCTATTGGAGTCACAAATCATTGGGCTATAAAGTCAGTATAAGTTATCCAGAGGGAAAAGTGATATGTCACAAAGGCAGATCGGACTTGCAGGACGGTGTTTGGAAGATGTGTGCAATTGAAGTTGAGGAATGTGTGAGATGAAAGACCTGCTTGTGAGTCGCGCATTGTTCCAGCAGCGCAAAATACCTGTGTTGAATCACCGTACAAACTTGATGCATCAAGTGATTCATGAATGGATTGCCAGTCAAAGAAATACCTGCATTCACACTTTACATGCTGCATTAGCTACCAGTAGCTGCCTGGCGGGCGTCTCCCTCAATTGAGGTCTGGGCAGTCAGTGTTCCTTCAGTGGTCCAAAAAGCAGGGCATTTGGATCTCAGCTACCGCCAGGCACCTCGAGAGGCAACGTTAATGCAACAGAGAGGAATTTCTTCTCGGCCAAGACGAAAACATTTTCGCATTGCTTGGCCACTAAAGCACACCATGATTATATGCCATCATTTGATCACCAGCAGCAGTGATGCCGACGACACGACGGTCCACTAGACGCGATCTAGGGGGCAGCTTACAGGTGCAGGACATGGTGCAGCGACACGAAAATGGCGGCGCCAAAGCGCAGCTCGCCCAGCACCGCCGCCGTAGCACGCGTAATTACAGGCCCAGCAGCACCCCTAAGACTACAGCTGCTATGACTGAGTTGCAACATGAAATCGCAGAATCCGCGACAGATCCCACAACGACGCGGCCGGAACGTCGCAATTCTGCTCGCATGAAGCGCCCATTGGAACTCATTCATCCGAACCCGGACCCTACAAAGGTCAAGAGGTCGAGAATCGCCGTCGAGATCAAGTCTCTGGCCAAGTTAGAGCCCCCCAGCCCCTCGAGAACCATCGTCGTCAGACCGCCGCCGCCCTCGTCCACAGTCGACGTGACGACCCAGCAAAACAAACCCCCTCCTCCTCCTCCTCCTCCTCCCTCCTCGCTGCCTACGCCGCCCTCCACCAACGCTGCACCCGCTGCCGAGCCAGCAACTCAGCCCAAAACGGCTCAAAAAGAACCCACCGTGCATCAGAAAAAAGTCTACAATGGCATCCGACACGAGTTGGATCGATTGCAGCCCAGTCTCGCAGATGCCGGCCTGGCAAAGGAGTCCGGTGGTGGCCGTAAGCTGAGATCACAGGAGGCCACGCGGTTCAAGAGCGAATTGTCAGCATATTTCCCCGACTATGACGAAGTAATTGGCAATGATGCCAAAGAATCCCGTATGTAACACCGCTTGACAAACCATGGCAGATCATCCTTTTGCCTTTGATCACCATTTTTGCACGTGCTACCTTATTATTATCATCTTGTTTTTTTCATACCCAGTGCTAATTCATCACTCGCCCCCCCTTACAGACGTTCTCAATGTCGACACACCCATCCTAGTCGTCGACTCCGTGGCGTCCCCACACCACAATGTCCGCGCCTCGCACCCGCGACAAGCTGCAGCTACTACAGCTTCCGTCAGCTCAAAGCAGAACCACCATGCTAAACTCGGTGCCGATACTACGACCGGGAGCGCACTATGGGTATCAAGGACCGAGAATTACCATGTAAAACAGTACGGAGACGATCTATACAGTAACTTGTACGATGCACAGCGAATCCAACTTCCGGGCCAGAAGGCAAAGCCGGACCACCTGAACGATCCCTTACCAGACTCACTATACGAGACTGCACATAGACGCGCTGAAAGGTTGGAAAAGACAATTAGGAATACAGAAAAAGGTCGTGCCCAACATGAACGGGATCAGATTGTCCGCCTCCTCGGGGAACTCCAGGGGCCAGACTGGTTGAGAACAATGGGAGTCAATGGTGTCACCGAGAGCAAGAAGAAAGGTTTCGAGTCCGCACGCAGCCACTTTATCAAGGGCTGCGAAGGTATTCTGGAAAAATTTCGTTGGTGGGCCCAGGAAGAGAGGAAGCGAAAGCTAGAGCGTGATAGAGCTCTTGCGGAGGAGCAAGATGACGATGAAGACGATGATGAGGAAGAGGAAGAGGACCCGGACGAAGACCAAGTCGCGGATAGCGATGCTGATGAGGATGGGGAGATGCTCGACGTTGACTCTGCAAACCGAGACCCTGCAGATGACAGTGACGGTGACCCTCCCGATTCCAGTGATGTTGACGCGCATATTGCCAAGCAACTTCACGAAGAGGCACTGGCAAGAGTCAAGCGTCCACCGTCGGTGTCAAACAAGAGACAGAAGAGAGATTTGTCGCCATCGCCTGTACCACAGCCGCCGAGAGAGTTCAAATCATTCTTCGACAAAAGGCACGACCGCGACGCTGCGCTTAGCAAAGTGCGGCGGAGCAGGCGAGTGGCTTTGGCGTGGGGTCACGCCATACCCGAGACCATTGACGAAGATTTTGAGCTACAACCGGAATATCGTGATGAAGAGACTATGCAGACGCGGGAACGCAGGAAGAGGAGAGATCGTCGGAGCAATCACCGTTGATATTACCTTGACGGCTTGGATGCTAAGAAGCATCCTACTATTGTAAAATAAGATACCTTTGGTTGGCTGGCTGGCGCAAAGGACTTGCATTTTTTGAGTGTTCTCGTCAGAGAACGGATGATACCACAGGATTATCTGGTCATTGATAGAAACGAGCCATGCAAAGCCATGGTGCTGTTCAGATCAGGGCTTTATGTCGGCGCATAAATAATGTTTGCAAACAAACATCACTCTCATGATGTTCTCGTGTATGCATTCTTGCAGTCCAAGGGCTCGAGCTTGATAGAATTATTACAATTATTCGCATACTCCAGAGTGTGCTCTACAGAGTAAATTTACTTGTATTCCAAGTTTGTCATTTCGTTCAGACCTAAGCTTTCTGCGGGTTTCGCGAAGCCCTTTGTTACAGATCATAGCTACCTAGGTATGATGCTGTCTCATGCGGCCTTGAAACAAGAGCGGGATTGTTTTAGACAATGGCCACTATGCAAGTAGACAGTAGCTAGTTATGCGCTTATCCGTAGGTCCACCGATTGGGGGATCCTCATACGCGCTGCTTACGTGATTGGCTCAGATCTTGAGCTTGCCCAAGCTTTGCCTAGACTGCCGTCACATCGCCGCGGTGGATGGGGAACTTGGACGCGAGGCTACAACACCAACGTCGCCATCGCCATCTTGACGGCCTTTGAAAGGTAGCCTTTGACTGCCATCGGCATACCGCGACTTTGCGCAAGCATCAAAAGACACGCTCATTACAGCTCACGATTACGAGAATCAGTTGTGACTCACGGCTGGCTTGGGAAGGACACGAGAACCACGTGGTTGCCTTACCTTTGAACATCCGGGTTGGAGGACCTACCTACTGCTCGAAGCTTCCGCCGCCCCAGGATTGCCCTCCCCAACCAACTTTGTCGCGGCTTCCACAACCCACAACGACTGCGCACAGCAAACCCACGGCAAAAACTGCACTTCGCCTCGGTTGCCTAAAACCTACACCTAATAAAGTGGACTTCAAATTTGTACCAAACGACGCAACTTTTACTTGCGAACCACGCTTTCCATTTCAACACGTCCGGGCAACTTTTCAAGTCATTGACGTGCCCGCTTTTGCGCCTCGCCGAAAGAACGATTCTCAACTCAAAAGAGCAGCGCTGCATTTCATACTGATGGTTACCTGCGCAAGATAGACGGCTCGGCGCGGCAAACCTCTGGTCGCCAAGATGCCTGCCCCTCTACTGGAAGCTGACCCAGCGGTCGCGTTCGACGCTGAGCAAGAGGTCTTTGCCGAACCTGAAGTTCTGGTCGACGACACCCCCGCCCGGCCGTATACTGTCTTTCACGAGCATGTTGCGCTAGACATCGACCTTCACGGCAAATCCATCAAAGGCCACGTCGACATCTTCATTAGCAGCAAAGAAGCACTGAAAGAGGTCTTCATCGATGCCAGACAGTGCGATATCGACGTGCGCAACATCACTGTGGGCTACGCTCGCGCCCACGCAACATATAATGATCCATATGAAAAAGTTGATACGCCAGAGGGCTACCTGTGGTCAGCGGGGCAGTGGCCCCTACGCAAGCAGCGCATCCAGCCTCTGATGCATCGCCACCGCAAGAACGAGTCTTCAGCCATACAGTATGAGGATGAGCTTAATTGTCACACCCTTGATGGTTCTATCAAGATCGCCATCCCGCCAATCAAGGACATACAGACCAGCATGGCAAAGCAGCGAGAGTCGCGGGCCAGTACACAGGGCCATGAAGTCCTTGACCAGTGGGTTGACCAATACGACAAGATGGTTGAACAAAACATGAATCAGCTCTACAAGATCACCATACCTTTTGCACTCAAGAACATTCGTGATGGTTTGCATTTTGTTGGTATCGAGGAAGGTGATACTCGATACCCTCATGTATACACGCGCCATTCCGTCGAGCCAGGTCTTGCCTGCTCTATTTTCCCGTGCATTGACAATCCAGGATGCCGCTCTTCGTGGAGGGTTTCCCTTACATTCCCCCGCACCCTGGGCGATGCTTTTCATCAGCGCCTGGTTACTCAACAGCAACCAGTAAATGGTGCAACCGCCGCGAACAGCCATAAAAAGCGCAAGCGTGGTGAAGAGGAGTCTCAGCGATCTAGTCTTGCTCTTACGGAAGAGGACAAGATGCTTGAGTTGACTGCAGTCTGCTCTGGAAAGTTGGAAGATGAGGTCATCAACCAGCGTGACGAAACCAAGAAAACCATGGTATTCTCATGCAACAACAAGGCCGCACGGCACATTGGCTTTGCCCTGGGCCCCTTCGAACATGTTGATTTATGGTCGGAGTTTCGTACAGAGGAAGACGATGAAAAGCTAGGCTCGAATGCCACCAAAGTTCATGGATATTGTCTTCCTGGACGCGCTGAGCTGGTGCGAAATTCCTGCGCTGCTATCGTCAACGCAATGGATCATTTCGCGTTGACGTATGGTCGCTACCCTTCCGACAATTACAAGATGTGCTTTGTCGATGACATGGTCGCGGACACTGTCCCTCTGTGCGGTTTCTCGCTCTGCAGCAACAGACTTCTTTTCCCACGGGAAATAATCGACTATGAGATTGAGGTCACACGAACCCTGGTTCATGCGCTGGCAAGCCAGTGGTTCGGCGTCAACATCATCCCCAGTGAGAAATCGGACATATGGCTCGTGGCTGGTATTGCTTGGTTCATGACCGATCTGTATCTCAAGTCACTTTGCGGAAACAACTGGTACAGATATCGAATGAAGGACCAAGGCGATCACTTGGTTCAGATCGACTTCAGTCGGCCATCTTTGGAGGATCTGGGTAATCATCTGCATCTGGGCGATTTTGAGATGAACTTTATGAACCTGAAGGCCAATCTCGTGCTTTTCATCCTTGATCGGCGATTATCCAAGTCATCTCGAAGTGCCGGTATTGCCAGAATTATTGCCAAGATGATTCAAAAGGCAAACACTTCAAGTCAGTCTGCTGATGAGATTCTTACCTCTGACATGTTTCGCAAAGCTTGCGAGAAGCATGGCCAAACCAGATTGGAAGGCTTTTGGAAGCAATGGATCAAATCGGCTGGATGCCCCAGGTTTGATGTTCATCAGAAATTCAACAAGAAGCAATTATGCGTCGAAATCACCATTCGGCAAATCCAGGACATCGCGCACGGCAAGGCAAGGCAGCTCGAAAAGGACGACTTTTGGAGGGAGGTAGTAGAAGATAATCATGGTGTCTATGCCGCGGAGCTGCAACATTGTTTCACTGGCCCAATGACCATCAGGGTTCACGAGGCAGATGGCACACCATATGAGCATGGTGTCGACGTTCGAGATGACACCGGAAAGTCTATAAAGTTCAACATTCCGTACAACACCAAGTACAAGCGACTCAAGCGAAGCAGACGCCAGAAGGAGCGACAAACGGCAGGGAATGCTGCAAACGCTGGCGAGGAAGAAACAACAGACGAGCCTCTAATCTACTGCCTCGGCGATGTGCTTCAGGGCGACGAAGACATCGGTCGATGGGGGCTGGCGGACTGGGATCCAGAGATGGAGGCGCGCATGGATCAGGAATCATATGAATGGATCCGCATGGATGCCGACTTTGAGTGGATTTGCATGATGGTCACTAATATGCAGCCGTATATGTACGTCTCGCAATTGCAGCAAGATAGGGATGTCGTTGCGCACCAGGACTCGATGCTATATCTGGACCGGGAGTCGCAGAGGAGACCTCATCCCCTGATCTCCACGATTCTCACGAGGACACTGGTCGATGAGCGTTACTATCACGACGTCCGGATTATGGCTGCGAGGACCCTCTCTCAGCTTGGGGTGGACAATCTCAAGCAGATTGGCCTTCAGCATTTAATCCATGCCTTTGATCACTTGTATGGCATTGGCGAAGGTCACCGACCTCGACCAAACGACTTCTCTGATAAGTCGCAGTACCTTGTCCAATGTGCCATTCCCGGATCTATCGCCAAGATACGAGACGCGGACGGAAACTCGCCGAAAGAAGCACGCCATTTCATCTTGCAGCAGTTACAAAGCAATAACAATGCAGAAAACGCTTATTCTGATCAGCTCTACATCTGCAAACTCATCGAGGCTCTGGCCACGTGCCTCATTCCCGACGAGAAACGCGCCAAGAAGCAGACAATGTCCTTTTCTTTTGGCGATGGCGAGGATGAAGACGCAGAGGACGATGTGGACCCAGAACCACAGCAGTTCAAAGAGTCAGCTTTGGAGGAGATTGACCGTGTTCGAAGAACGGATGAGTATTCTCCTTCATTCGATAACTGTTTCACCATTGCTGCGTTGGATGCACTCTACCGTCTGATGAAGGCAAAGGTCATTCCTATTGACCCATTGACTTTCATGCAGTACCTGCAAGACTGGACCATTGAGGGCGTCCGCATCAAGGCATTTGAGGCATTGGTGGAGCTTCAATTCATGGCAAAGCCTACGTTCCTTCGATTCTTCTTGATCGCTATGGCAACTGATGGTTCACCGTATGTCCGAGACAAGCTCTTCAAAATATTCTGCCGTGGCCTTGCTAGTATCGCTACTGGAGAATATGAGATAGAAGAGCAGGATGTACCAGCCCCGAGCGATGATCTCGTCGTTGAGGCAGGTGCTGGTATCATCGAGGCAAAGCAAAAGCTCAAGGCTCGCAAGGAGAAGCTGCCGGATGCCCGAGCTGCTCTGAAGGATGCGACCAAGGACGATCGGGAACTACAAATGGCCGTTTGGAATGCTTTGGACTCGCCTGCATTAACCGTCGCTGAAAGGCGAAATTTCCTCGAGCTTTGCTCAATCTTGTTCGAAGAGGATGACCGGCTCCTCGTCAAGTTTGATTACCCCAAGATATGGACGTGCGAGAAAGCTCCCAAGGAGCGTGGCAGGGTAAGTACCGCCAATCAATGGTTTATTCCGGATGCATGTGCTTACCATTCAGCAGTGTGTTGTAAACTTCAACCGTCATTACCGCACCGAGTCGCGAAAGACTTTTGCCACACCCGTTATCTCGCGCCCCGAACCACCAAAACGAACCATCACGTTAAACTTGAACAAGGCATCAAGCTTCAAGGAGACGACGCCAATCGCAGTCAAACCACCAGCTGGTGTCTTCCACCAGCCCGCACAGACTACCAAGCCAGGTTTACCACCAGCAAAACCTCTCGACAAGACTACGACTCCAGTTGTAGCCAAGTCTACTTTACCCAAACCCGCAACTTTGCCAAAACCAGCCATGTCGAAACCCTCTGTCATTAAGCGGGCCACTTCGCCACCTCCACCCAAAGAGATTCGGAAGGACAGCATCGCCGTTCAAACCCCCAGACCTAGTATTGAAGGATCCGGTCCCGTTCCAGAGCGCAAGGTCGTGCCAGCTCCTCACGCAAAGCCACAGCAGAACCGCGAGTCGCTACTTTCAAAGGGGTTGATACAGAAGACGCAAACATCCAAAATCCAGGTTTCCAAGCCTGTAATTCCCATGGTACCCAAGACAGCACCTCCCAAGGCTCCAACTCCAAAGGCTCTACCCCCTAAGCCTACGCTACCTCCGCTAGCCAAGACCAGCGGAGACTCCCGTCCATCGAACCCTGTACCATCCGCTCCCAAGTCGCTCAAGCGCTCCAATACCGAGTCTGGGGAGGGAGAAAGACCGAGCAAGATTGTCAAGTTGAACACAAAGGGCATACCCATCAGTGTGCTTAGTGCAATCAAGAAGCGCTCCAAATTGGTCAAGCTCCCCTTCAAGAAGTGGGATAAGCTCAAATTGCGAAAACCACCATCATCAGCGACTTCGGAAGCCGGCACTATTCGTGCTACAGCATCAAAGCCGCTACCATCCCAGAGAGAGAAGGAACGGTCCAAATCAGTCGCCATCGGGTCGCCTGCTTCAACAGGCTCTCCGCGCAGTGCCACGCCAACTCTAGGCTCAGGCTCTCGCCCGTCTCCTCCGATCCACAATGTCAAGAAATCCGCGACTCCACCCGTGTATTCGCAGAATTCCGGTGGCAGTATTCTGAAAGCTCCAGTGCGAAAACCACTCCCCGGATCAGGACCAGCCGGGAGCAGTGGTGGCGGCAGCAGCAGCAGTGGCGGCGGCGGTGGGAATGGCCACGGAACGGGTAGCGAACGGAAACCCCTACCCATTGGCGGACGAACTTCCCTACCTTCGGCATTATCCCAAACTCCAAGCAACTCAGTTACCAGCGCACCGATACCTAAATCTGTTCCCAAGCTCAAGATCATGTTGAAGAAGCCGGCTTCAAAGCCACCAGGACCATAGGTTCCCCGAGGTGCTGCTCATAGCATGGCCTATAACCTAACCAACCATTTTGATTTTGTGTATTGTTGTCATTTGGGCCTTGTGCTCACAGAGGCGTAATGATTTATTTTATGCCAAAGGATTTTGCATAGCCACGGCGTTTTGGGGGGTCAAAATGCATACCCGATCAGCCGGTATCACTGCTTTAGTTGCAGTGTGGCTGGGCTCATTGTCTTGCAGCAATTTGAGCAAAGGGGCTAGCCGTACATGGTTGCGTAAAGACAGAAATAATCAAAAGAAATATTCTTAAGTCACATGGTCACACTTTCTGCAGTTTCGTACTTGAATAATTGCCAATCTGGTCCGTGAAAAGTCTATTCCAACATGGTGCTCGCACTTCCGCGTGCTCATCTAGACACAGCCATTAGTGATATTAGTAGATCCAACGACTCCCACACACATATAATTCCAACTTGCTGATATGTAGGCATATACTGGCAGCCTATTGGTAGTTGTTCGTGCATGCAATGAGTGTTTTGTCTCCCTGAGCAGGATCATGCCTCTAGCCAGTCTCTGCGTGTCTTCGGAGATGCTTGTGCAATCCGAGGGCAGTGAACAGCCTCCAATATGATTTCAAAGCTCTGACCGCCGTGATACAGCTTGGATTCTCTTTTGAAAAGACTTTGGTCCTGTCTACAGCCACACTTGTTTGTCTCCCGTGACAAATGGAGCAACCCCTCTTTTGCCGATGCAGAATTTTCGATTCATCACGGCCAAGGGATTGTAAGGCTGATAGATCGAGAAGATCAATTTCACCGACCTGGTCTTCTAGTGCCCGTTCCAAGTCTCTCATCGCGACTCCGTGTAACACGCATCGGCGCCGCTGGCGGTGCTGCTGCTGCTGCATGCTGCTGGGCTTCACTCGTGGCGCCGCGACCACTGCCCGGCCTCGCGCTCGCGCTTACGGTCCGTCCATGTGTCCTGCGCAAGGGCGCCTGTGGAATCTGGCTCGCGCCCGCCGTGGAGTGGTGATTACTCGGCACGGGCGTGTGCTGTTGGGGCGGCGGCGGCGGTCCTCCTCCTAGAGGCGGCGCGGATGCGCTATTCACTGGCGTCGTGAAGCTGGAACTCACGTTGGAAGGAGGCTGTTGGGCATAATGTTCGTGTTGCTGCTGTTGGTGGTGGTGATGAAGACGGCGCTGTTGTTGTGCCTGTTGCTGCTGTTGCCTCTGGGCCTGGGCCTGGTGATACGAGGCCGGCCTCGCGGACCGCGGCAATGACTGCATTTGGCCGGGCGTATCGTAGTCGACCATTTCCTCGTCCTCGGGGGACTCGTCGCCATCATCATCTTCTTCGTCGTCATCGCCATCATCGTCTTTCTCCACGTCCGACGACGACGGTAGTAGTAGGGCCGGAGCCTCGGGCGGCGAGGAGAGCGCTGCCGTTGGGAAGTCGCTGTCGTCGCCTGTGGCTGCTGCGGCGGCCCCAAAACCTGCGCCCGCTGCTCCATTGGACGGTGTCTCGTGCGCCGACGGACCGGCACTGCCTCCTCTGTTGACCGGTGTAAAATGTGCGCCGCCACTGCGCGTGTAACGCTGCTGCTGCTCCTGTTGCTGCTGTTGTTGTCGCCGTTGCTGCTGTTGTAGATGTTGCTGTTGTTGGACATGGTGCCGCTGCTGGGCTGCAAAGTTTCGCAGATCCTGCTCAGTGGCAGGCTCGGTCCATCCTCCTCCTCCTGTCGAAGGTCCCACTGGCGTGAGGGCGGACGAGGATGAAGTCGCCTGCTGCGGCGGAGGGTCGAGTATGGTCCGGCGCTGGGGTCGCGCGTACGGGCTTTGTTGTTGGAAGCTGGCGGCGGCGGTCGGGGCGAATTGGGGCTGATTGGTTCGTCGTACTGCAGCCTCGCGGCTGCGCTTGTCCTCGTACACAGAGATATCCTCGGACGTAAGGGTTAGTGTCGTGGGCGGTCGTTTGAGCATGGTGTTTTTTTGTTTTCTAAAGCGAAGAAGGTTTGGGGATATGGATAAAGCTGCAGGTCCAAATTTTGGCTTTGGCTTGTTTATCCGGCGTGCGGCATAAGGAATGTAAATAGATATATACACAGTGAATGGTCTATGTGTGATAGCAAAAGTATCTGGAGCCCAGCTTGTTTAGGTATATTTTCAGACAATTGCGAAAACAAAACAAAACAAAACAAATACTCAATCATCACAGCCAGATATGGATTCACTTTCTGGAGGGGTTGCTGCTGCTAGGGAGTCGTGTGTCGGGCGCGATCTGACGCGTGTTTAGCGGGGTGGGATGGGCTAAGGTTAGGTTAGAACCAATTCAATTTTAGGTGGGGTTGCCCCCTTAGTAGTGGTCCTGCTTTCCCATATTTAGGGCTGCTAGTTGGCTAACATTGAGTCGATATCCGACCTCTCTGACATTTATAGATTTCCCCGCAAATGAAAGCTGTGCCGCAATCCGGGGTGGTGGTGGACATTCATTCGGGTACTTCTACATTTGGTATCGCAGAGAAGTCATTGGATGTCATCATTATTCTTCGTCTTCCAGTGGAGCCATACACAGATCATCTATATCAAATTGTGGCCTCATCTAGTCTCAAAACAGAATGCTTGGTCTACAATGAGAACACATGACGTTGCCATTCCATTCCCTGTACAGAGTAGTAGATTGTCCACTGGGGGCATTCAACTATTCCATCTAATGGTGGTCGCGTTGAAGCAGCTTTATGTCTTGAGGTTATCCCAAAGTCGCTTGGCAAACATATGTATTATACATTGATGGTCAAAAGCCACAGGCGTCCGTCTAGAATCAGATAGCCGTGTTAATCACATCCCATTCTATGCAGGTTTTCAGCTGGCACATGCCGTTTTGTCTCAAACTATTCTCCAAGAGCACCTCGCTGTCTTTGGGAGGGGTTGATCTCCTCTCCTTTGACCCCAATACCGTGTGACAAGTGTTCCCCCTTCCCTCCGGCCCAGCTTCTCCGCACGAACCATGGTGCTTGGTATTGGCTAGACACTGCATATAAGTCGGCTTTCGTTACCACGGGACCTCGAACCCTGACTACTGCTTCTCCTCCAATATTCAATTCCATATATATACATGTACGGTTCCTCTATATGACATAGTATATACTGAGTTAGCAAGACAAAGCATCTCTCTTGATATTACAATCCTGAATACAGCCACCATGACACAACATGGAGCATTGTCATCTCTGGAGACAACCTCTCAAGACAATTCCATTCTCCTCAATATCCCCCCAGAACTCCGCTTCCAGATACTCGAATTGGCTCTGGATTTACCCCCGGGTGGTGTATCACTGGGCCGTCCAGACCGCACAAACTGTCAAGATGCCATGTCCATCTTTCTTGTCTCGAAGCAGATATACGCCGAAGCGGCACCCATATTCTATCGAACCGCACGGATTGACCTGCGCGGCTGCTCCAGCTTCTCCAAGACTTCGCCAGAAAAGGCCGTCCGGCGTTTCTTGCAAATATCCGAGAGACCGCGGCGGCATATCAGAGATCTTTCCGTTTCCCTCGGTATGGCTGACTGCTGCGAATGTGAGTCCTTGGTCGGCCTTCAGCTGGAGAAGCAACTCGATCTCAGGAGTTTAAACGTCTTCATCGGGCCCGACTATGCATATCCTCCTGTAGGTTGTGCGGTGCATCCGCCAACGCGGCCGAGACACTTTTTCAAGTCACACCTCGACTCTGGCGAGCAAGTTACTGGTCCCATTTGCTTGAAAGAGACACAGTATCAGGCATTTTTACAATTCCTTACAAGGGCAAACTTTGGAAAGATCGTGGTCAAGGTCCATCGGTTTCATGTTCACTTTCTTTGCCAATTTCATGTACCAGACAAGGGAAGAAATTGCTACGGGGAGTGGCGAGGTCCTGAAGACTGGGTTATAGTAGATCATGAAGCTATGATCGAGGCATTGACCAATGTGCAAGTCGACGACTCTGTGGCTGCTGAAAAAGGCTGTGTCGTTTACAGCCGGCGAGTATAGGGTTCATTCGAAACGAAGTGTGTGATCAGTATGTAATCAGCACGGTGATCCACTTAAATTTGTATTGAGAATAAAAGAAATCTGTTTAGGTTACGTGGACATGTAATAGTAGATTGCACATGTATGAAAATGATGTTTGCATTGTCATGCTAGTAAACATCACCTTTATTATTCGTGACTATACAAGAAAAACCCGCTGAAACTAAACCACCCGAATTGCTATGAAGGTAGAAAGTAGACGACGAGATGATTTGAGACATGCGACGTATTTTTTGAAACCTGGTGACAAGATATGAGCTGAGAAGAGTGGGTAAGCCAAATAACCACGAGCCTCTCGAAAGGAAAATAATAAAATGAAGATCCTTCGGCTATAGATCAAAGCGTCAGTAGATTACTTAGAACAATGGCATAACAGTCCAGGTGAAACAAGACTCCCAACTTACAAGGATCGCTTTCAATCAGTGGTATTCACCCAGAAGATCATTGGCCATAATGCGCGACGTTTTCTTCTTTCGAATTAGTACCAAAAGATGGTTTAACCATGCACAGTCTTACAGCTGATTGATGCGTATACTTCTATCAGGAAAACACGGTGACATAGGACTGCGATGATTTCCTGTGACTTCTGGGTTTGTGTACGTACTACGAAGTACTCTACTCTGGTGCTTCGAGCATTTTGTCTGGGACGTAGTAATGTAGGAATGTGCTTGGTTCGTGAAAATATACTCTCCATCTGTAAATCTGTTCGCTTTGGTGTGCTTGTAGGTCTATTGGCAGCGAAGAGAGTGTTAGAGAGATGGAGAGAGAAAATTTGGAAAGAAATAAAATGGAGAGGGGGAATAAATACTCGAGGATGAGCGACCGCGCCTGGATTTCAGCATTAGCAGAGTTTGAATGGAAGTCGCATGTGAAGGTACAGTGTAGGGGAGAAAAGCCATTTGGAAATGATTTGGAAGCATCAATGATAGGTCCAGACTTGAGCTATTCAGAGAAAGAGGCAGAAGGTCGCTCCGACTCAGCATATATGCATGTCACGGACTGCTCAATATCAGTGGAAAGAACAATACCAGAAATCACGCCACTCGTTGCTGCCTTCTCATGGCTAGCACGTATTGTGACGTGAGATCCTTCACAGCGATTGGCAGTGTCACCGGTCAAGAAAGCTCAGATGGCATTTGAGTGCAGACCTGTGTCTCATATGGCGGTGAAATGGATACGCTAGAGGACGTCCTTTCCAAATATATCGTCGCTGACTACAACAATCCTGGAGCTACACCTGCAGTCAATTGTGACATGACGAAGGGGAGGAGGTTCGAAAACGAGTTTTATGAGAAACACTTTCCGTGTAACACCAGAAACGACGAAGTCGGCAAGGCCCCGTGAGCCTGGACAACCACAAACAATCAGGGCATCTCAATCAACCTGACTTACAGGTGAATATAGCAATTGTCTTGGGTCAAGTAAGCATATACTATATTCATGGTACAATTTGGACATAATGCTGAGCAACATCAAGGTGAATTATGAGGACGCTTTGTGGATTTGCTGGCTATTTAAATAGAACTTGATTCTTATGGTGATGACGAAAAGCCGGCGAAAAGAAAACAAGAGGGAAAACAAAACAAAAGAACAAAAGAAAGGAACTGATTCCATCACAACCCATAGTTTCTGATCTTCTCAATCTGCTTATGGGTCAAAGACTGGCAGCTGCGACAGCGACAGATGAATCCGTATTGCTTAAAGAGATCTTCTGGATCCTTTCCGTAAGTGATGAACAACTCATCACCTGCCTCAATATCTCTTTCAACGGTGAAGACCATGCAGTCGTGTTGCTTGTCATACGTGTACGCTACGTTGTTGTTTGGGACACAGGCATGATTGAACTTTGATGCTGTCAAAAAGACGCCTTGGTCCTGCTGGTTCATCATAAAGCTAGGTTGGGTGTCAGCAGCTGTTCAGTACACTTATTGGCCAATGGAGGCAACGGTCAGTTGTGGATATATCATACGTATTTGTCTTGAATTTCGCATCGCGTCTTTCTAGAATGGTAGAATGCTCGTGGATCCCGTTACCGTGCATCCGGTCAAAAGCTCGGCGTAGCTCTGGGCTCAACTTCCGGATCTCACTGCGCAGCGTTTTGTCATGTGCATGAAAGAGCGACTTCTCGATGAGGATTGTCTGGCCCTCGACCAACTTCTGCAACGCAAAGGCACCGTAACCCGCAGTGGCAGATTGCTTCACTTCGTAAAACTCGTTACGAAAGCTTTCTGGTCTTGCCATGGGTCCGATGGGAGCTGAAACTGAGCGGGGGAGCGTCTGGTTGATCTCTGAATGATCTTCTTTCATGGTGACTGATTCTCGAGTCGTATCATCTGTGATGAGATCAACACCAGGAGTAGTGGCGGCAGGCTTCTGGTGAGTCTGCACAATGACCGAACAGTTATCATCCATGATGGCTGCATTTTGAGTCGTGTCGAGCGTGATTGGTCCAAAAGCTGTCTTGTATGTTACAAGGCTAGTCTCCCTGTGCTCTTTACCTGCAGCATCTTCATCGTCTAGAGAATGAGAAGTCAATACCTCCTGTCGAGTGCTAGGTTTGTAGTATCGTACCATCGAACTCACTGTCTGAATCGTCTTCTTCATCGGACTCCCAAGGATGGCCTTGGTGAGTTGGCCCCTCTGGACGGTCCTCGTCTGTGCTGGTCTCAGATACTCGACTCGAGGAATTCTCGGTCCAGCACTTGGAACGCAGAGCGGTGTCAGCACCTTTGGCTGCGTTGTTCTGGTCGTCATTATCGCTTTCCGAACCATCCTCTAAAGCAGTCTGGAGACCTTTGTAGAGATTGGTGAGAAAAGCCACGCCTTTCGGGTCTTTGTCCCTGTTGAGCTTCACATATGGGAGAGGCTTGGCTCCCGACGCCATCGATGGTTCAATGGGTTCCTGCCAGTGTTAACAAATGAGTGTTTTGTGAGAACAGTTTTCAACGCACTTGAACAGAAAGATTTCCGACATTTTCTGTAGGAATGGCGCTATTGCCTCCATCTTTCTGAATCTGATCTCCCAAGATGCATTCTGTCTCGTGGTTATTAGAGTGACTTTCACTGTTCTCCAACGAGAGGAGATTGCTGGTTGGACCCATCTGGGCAACCTCTTCTGGTGCCGACATTGCCTTTGTATTGGTATATCGGTCTTCGTATTCCTCTGATGATATTGATTCAAAAGATGTTTCTCTGAGTCTTACTTGTGGAAATGACTCTATTTGGTAGCGATATCGATCATGGATGCTGGTGATGTACTTATCGCCACCCGCCTGTAGATGATGAAGATCTGAAACTATGACTCTGGGGGAAAGAATGGTCAGCCATGTTGTCTCTTCAATTGCTCAAATGGTTGCAAGTGAGTTTGAATCTTGGTGAGCGTGACCTCTTGCACTAAAAGCATTATTAGTTGCTTTCGTACTTACCTTGATTAGATGTACCAAGTGTCTAAGTGGCAAGTAGATGCCGTGTGATAGCGACGGTCAAAGACGTAGCTGTGATCGCAAGAATCAAGCTGCCCGAAGAATGCAAGCATGCAGTACAATGCCTATTGCAAGAATACTTGTCTATGTGAATAGCTGTAGTGAAGTGTTAGCAAGTGGTGTGTGGAATTGTCAAGTCTAGAACTTCGTTTGCAAAAAGAGGTCGTGAGGGAGGAAAGCACACAAAGACGTTGCGTTGAGTTGAGGCAGATGGCTTGTACAGGAATATGTGACGTGAATGTTGCTTTGATTGAACTGTAAAGTGAAAACTTGTACTTACCCGGAGATCAAAAGTGTGTTGCAAAGATAGAAGTTGCAAGAGAATTGGTATTGAGAGGATTGGCGATGGAGGAAGTAGTAGTAGTAGTAGTTGTTGTTGTTGTTGTTGTTGTTGTAGTGGACGGCGGACAGGTCAAAACTTCAGAAGCCAGCCACTTACTTATAGATATTTTCAGAAGTCCGTGCGGCGGCGGCTTTGAATGAAAACGAGTTTGATTGTTGCTGGAAAGCAAACGCGTTGGATTGTTGCTAAGAGGTTCTTGCTCAAAACCGTTGAACAATAGGGAGTTGCGCGCACTTGATCAAGACAATGGAAGGGACGAATTGTTGGTGTTTTTAATGATCATGATACTCATTCTGGTCCTTGAAACTCAATAAATACCTCCTATATCGATCTGTTCAGGACATGTAGTAGTAAAAATGATGTCCAGGTACAATGATGGCCATTTTCTAGGTCCTGTTGCCAGTGTACGCACGAGTTTTCTACGGACAATTTGCTAGGGTATTCTGAACCTTGCTGGCGAATTTAGGCTTCAAGGTATCTTAACTTTTCCAGATCTCGCCTAGAAAGTTTTGTGCTTTTTGAAAAGCATAAATAGAAAACATGGGTATTTCATATCGAGCGTGAGAAACACAACAAGATTTCTGGTTCCATAGGCGCCGTTTGACCAACTGCATTCACCTTGTTGTGGTTGCCAGCTCGTGAATAATCGTGCATTTGTTGTAGTAGTAAAGTCAAACGAGCGGGGAAGAACCCGTCGACAAGTAATAAGAAATGTAATCACACAAACTTGGTAATGACTCTGCAAAGCCTGTTCTCCTTTCTTTGTCAGGAGCACTGCGTTATACAAGCGTGGCGAATGGTTGATTTGTAGCCCGATTGTGCTTTGTTTGGTGGCAGGCAGCGACGTCAGGGTTTATCACTCACCTTATCGAGCCTCGTTTGTTGTTGCAACATTGACATATCCCGGGACCAACCTTTGAAAAGTGGCATGACCTCATCAAGACAGTCGGCTTTGCATTGAAGTTCAAACGGACAACTACCGCATTTAGGTTCTATTTTGCAAGGCTGTCTAGCTTGAATCGAAAAGCAAGGGACGGAGGCTTTTGAGCAGCACGCGAAACGAGAAAGGGCTCAACTTTGCCGTACAAACTTGCCCTCTATTCAAATCTTCATTCGTATGCCTTCTTATAGATTAGCAAGGCGCTGAGTGATGCGCAATCGGTCAGCCATGAAATGACTCGGCTGTTTCAGAAATGCATTCTATAGGGACTTGTCTTGATACCATGATATCTAGCAAGGACAGGGCGTTCTATCGTTGTCCATGACCAGGCCAACAGAAATCGAGAGTAGACAGGCGCATGGAAAAGACAAGTTGAGTAAGAGTGGATGATTCATCTCTAGAAATGCACATGGGCCAAGACAGTCATGGCCAATTGTCCTCCAAATGTTGCACGTGCCTTGGCGGCATCTATCTACTTCCCACCGCCATAAAAGAAATTCGGGCAAAATGGTTCCATCCACTTTCTGTTGAATTGACCATTGCAGCTCGAGAAGCGGCAGTGACGCACAACATCTGGGGAGACATGAAACTGGCGGTCAATGGTCAAAAAAAGACATGATGTACACATACAAGCATTGGGAATAAGAAGGTGGCTGTCATGAACCAACACAATGGCTGCTCTTTCCCTGATCACGATTGCGCTGCCTATTTACGTATGTCACCTTGACTGGCCACGTCTTCTTGGTTTTGGAAAACTATTTGTTGGACTTTTGCACTTTCATGCATTGACGCCCGGCATGCCATGGCAACAGGAGCTTACTCGTCATTTCGACTTTTGATAATCCACCAGGCATGATGAAAGTCAGGAATACGCGAAAGAAGAGCTATTGATATTAGAGGGTTTGATAAGCTTGAAGGGGGCCATTTACTTTGGGGGGCCGTCTTTTTGTAATGGTGTCCTGCACAAAATCGTTCCATGCATATGTTCCGTTTCACTCTGAACAACCATGTGGCGATTAAAAATATCTCCCTGTGTCATGATGCAATTGCAGCGCTGATGATAAAGCATAAACGTGGCCCGCGGCCATGCGGTGCGACGGTAACACTGCTTACCCGTACCACGAGGACGAGAGGGATGGAGGGACGGTTTTGTAGGCGCCCGTGTTTTAGGATCGCTTACGTGTTCCTGCGCAGGACTCGAGTGTACGTTTCCGGCTATGTACGGAGATATGACTTGTACCTCTTGGTTTCTACATATACAAGGTGGGAGTGGAAAAACCATGGGAAACGGTAGGTATAAGCTGGATTCATTTTGATGGCCGTCTCAAAAGTCTGCAGGAACATAAGCCAAGAAATATTACTGAATTGTTGGTTTCAGATGGACCGGTGAAGGTTCTAACGTGTCTGTCTATATGACTATTCTAGAATTACGTTTGTGGAGGCTCAAGATGAAGCATCCTTCGATACCGAAATAGAAGAGTTGGTGCAAAGTCCAACAACATGCTTGGCACAATCATGGGATGTAGTTGCCAACACGGTTACAAATACATATACAGAGTGTACAATTACTGGGCCATATTCCCAGGCGCTCGAAGTAGTAAGCTCGAAATATTGACAGTGTTGAGGGAACACTTGAAATTGGAACATGTCTGCAATCACACTCTCAAAATGCAATTACGTCGTGATCTAGAAGCTTGACGGTTGGGTGGCATAGCAAGCTAGCATGAGTCGCCCAACAAAAGAAGGAGAAACCGAAACAGGATGCAAAGTGGGTAATACAGATATGTACCTAGATTATAAGCATTTATTAGGTAGGTAAACTGCTCGCTGGGTCGGGCACAGGCAAGGTACCCAGGTAAGATAACCCAGGTCAAGGCAATCGGCATTTTTGAACAGGGTGCTTAGCAGCGGTAACGCGGAGTTCCAGTCCCGCGGATCTCTGGTGCCACGGAATTTTTCAAAGGGAAAGACTTGCTGAATTCCTGACCTTGGCTTGCTTGGCCTTTTTCCCCCCCCTACGTTCGTACGTACGTATGTACATCCATCCCATATTGGCGGCAAGCTCATCTTTTGCGGATCCCGTGGGTATCTATCCTAGCACACCATCATGACTTTTCCTAATCAGCCGATGCGATCCTTCAAAGCAGAAAATAACTTGCGAGACTTCCACTGCGCCGCTCACCGGCATTTGGTAGTTCCCTTTGATGCCATTGCTATACAGTCAATATTGGATAGCCCCTTGGCCCAGGTGGTAGGTTCAGAAGAGCCCAAACCAACTGGATCCACGAAGTGCCGCTAGAGAAGTCCTCTGGCAGGGGTTCAACTAGATCATATCATTGTTTACATGGCTCTCGACCGGGACGACTGGGTATCTTGACCATGTTTTCCGGTGCCCGGCGACGGCGACGGGCCGCTAGGAATAGATTCCCGGAAAAGTCCACTAGACCATGTTACTTGATCCATTATTATACAGGCCCGAGGACGAAGGACATACCCTAGAATATGTAAGGGCGCCGTTGGTGATTCTGCAGCGACCCGACAATACAGAACCCACCTTTCCCCGATTAGAACAAGGAACCATACTGGACTAGCTGAACATAACGTTTCTACCACGTACGTATATCCGTTATGGTATACAGCCCAAGTGAGCCGAAGATGATGCGGAAATATCTCGAATGATGATACTAACCTTGGGTTAGAACCAGCAGACAGGGCCTACTTGCTCTGTAGTGGCTGCCGCGTGGGGCAGAAGCAGGGTAAAATTGTGGGCGGCGGTTCAGGGTCTGGAGAAGGTCAAGGTGTGGTGGGTGAATGGGAATTAGTATCGCATTCGCTTTCCTGCTTGCCCTGGTCACCTTGGCTGATGAAGCAGTGTAATTTCTACAAATAGGTAGGGTAACATTACAAAAGCACTACCAACGACAACATATTGGACCAGAGAATAGTGAATGCACACGGCTTGAAATTTCAATACAAGGGCCGCCGCAACAACAGCAAGCTCCTAACCCTCTCCTTCTCACCTCGTGCAGTCCCATGATCTACCTGCTGGTCGCTAGCGATCCGAGGACCCATTCAAGGGCGTCCCTGACCGACTCTGGCTTGTATCTACTGTGTAGGTGAATTTACCAATCCTGTGTCATTGAAGTTCAGTGCAGCATCGGTCCATGTCACACAGATGGAGTAATTTGACAGCGGCCCCAGGTAACAGACGGGTGGAAAGAGCTAGGAGTTGTCTGCATTTCCAAATCTAGATCTGGCCGCTCAAGTTGTGGTACTTGTTTCTGTACAACACCAAGCATTATTTTTTTTTTCTTTTAACGGCCGAGCCCAGACCCTGCCATTGATATATAGTGTTAGCTGTGTCCCCACGTATTACCGCAAAGGCATGTAGTTATGTTTGCAAGGCTGCCTGGTTTCAGTACTATCAATATAGGTAGGTTGTCAACCAACAAAGCTTCAACAATTCTAGCTCAGAACTTTCAATCTTTATTGGTTGGCCGCCCTAAAGAAAAGCATGGGGTGCAGGTGCTCTGTAGTGGGAGGGGAGGGGAGGAGAGGGGGGTCATGTCTACATACCAAATTAATCCCAGTAAGGGCATGCAATGTGAGCCTGCCTGCTGCAGCTGAGCTATGTATAGCTTTTTACGGCCCCCAAGCACTGCGCATGCACCAATACATGTACGTAGTAGTAGTAGTAGGTATCCACTTATGTATACATGCACCTACATGCAGCCCGAGAGTCCCTTGGTTTACGTAGTAGGTAGCCAGCAGAGCTGAATGTATTGTGACAGGTGTGAGGAGAGTGGCATTCAACGGCCACTGGCTAAGCTAATGCAGGGACGAGAGATGCGAGCTTCTTTCCATTTCCCCCAAGAATCGTATCTTGTACTTTTTTTTTTTTTTTTTTGTATCCCAGCGTCATCATTCTTGACGTCGATAACTCACTCTCCCGGAAGGTGGCGACAAGAGGGAGCCGTGGTAGTAGAGGCATTTGCAGAGCCACGAGCTTCGCCTCATACAATTGCCTCTTCAGAGCCGACCACCACGAAGCAGAACACCTAATCCTCATGATTAAACATTATGCCACATTTCATGTCCTTCATTCATGACTATACATACTATTCTTGAACCATCTGCTTTTAGGTACCATGCCATTAGAATCGTGCATGCGAGTACAATCATCATCCCGCCGTGTGATCACTGCCATCGCACAGCCTCCCCAAAAATTCCTATCGAACGTTCCGCATTATGACTCTTGAAGGAAGCACTATGAACTCGACCAAGTGGTGGTATGAAGATCCCAGCATGGGATCTTCACTAGGTATTTTCTATCCCCCGATGTCTTGGTCACTTCTGTCGCAGTATGATATGCTATGTCTCTCGCGGCAAGCCGGCGGCGAGCTACTCATCGTTTGGGTACCAGAGCCCCAATGTATGCATGTAAACTTCGACAGCGCCAACATGAATCCTCCGGGACGAGCATGCCACAAAGTATCCCTACGTATGGAACCAGTCCCAGCATTTTGGTTCATGGGTAAGCGACCGAGCTTTACGCAACCCAAGTCACCCAAGTCATGTCGACAACCCACTTATCCGCTACATCTTTTTCTGCCAGGAACTTTTCTCCAATCTGGAAAGCCCACATGACGCAAAGCCAGTGCCCATGCCTCCGAGTCCAGAGAGCCACCTGTCCAAGCTGCCCGGGCGGCTCTTGTCAACCCCCCCTCCCCGGGAGAAAAAAAACACCGAACCACATCTTGAGTTTTCCATTTGCACAATACCAAGAATATACCAAGTGGATCATACCCTAAATCCTAAGGAAATTGCCGTTGGGTGGCTTACAGCCTCTATGTGGTTTCGAAACTCGGCAATGGCAAATGCTCATTGGTGGCTAACCGCCATTATGCTAACAAGACGCAATCTCCAGCTGGGATCCTGCTATTGAGAAGAAGACTAGATTCCTAAGCAGGGACTACAACCAGCTTCTCTTGGGAAAATTCGGTACAGATTAGTCACACGGCATCCCCTAGCCTACCCAGTGTATCAAGTGAGAAGGAAGAGCCAATCACCAAAAACAGAGGACAGAGGCCTCGGGGGTCGACGGAAAAATGAACAACGATCCCAACCAGATCCTAGGCAGTCGCTTCGCTGCCTATGAACAATCATGAAGCCCGAGCCACATTCAGTCTATAACATCCCATCATAACGAACATGATGGCATCCAAGTATAAATACGGGCTCATCCGCCATTTAAGATGTGTATCTTTCGGAGATAAATCACTTCAGCTACTCTCTTCTGACGACTCTCCATCAGTCAATCGCATCTGAGCACTTAACGGCTATAGTATCCCATTGATTACTGTCGTGCCCGTCCCATCCCATCTCACTTAAACAAACAAAGGTGTGTAATGGACAAAATCTTCCTTTCCCCCTCAGGCATTTAAGTCAATACGGCAACTCATAACTATTTCATGACTTTGTGTCGTTAACACCAGAATAGATACCAGCGAGCCCAACCCCTATATAAAATACGCCACTCTGTCAAGCAGTCTTTGTGTGTACATCGCATCCATTTCTCGGTCAAAGAGAATTACGAGTGTACGGGACCGGCTGGCTTTGAGCCAAGTTTATCCGAATAAAGGGTCTACAAACCAGAAAATTCAGGAAAAAAGATTCATAGATTGGATCATCACCGATAAGATCACAAGATATCCTTTTCCGCGGCGCCAACCACAACATCTACACAATAAAGCAACAGTCACGAAGCAAGACATCATGCCTGACTCAGGATCCAGCAAAAAGGGAGACAAGAGCTCCCGTGGCAAAGGCGGCAAGAAGGATTCAAGCTCGAGCGGTGGCAGAAAGTCTCGCGAGAATTCCGCTGAACAGGAGCAAACCGAGGAAGAAATTCGGAGGGGGAGAAGCCGCACTGGCTACAACTAAGTTTGACGCTTTCCATTTTAAGAACCCTCCTGGGAAATGGCATGGCAGTAATGGATAAGGCATGGGAATGATGTTTCTTGCATCTGTGATACTATATTTCCTTGTATTCTTTACATCTTAGATGGGTTTGGTCCCTGGGTCCCACGACGGAGTGGTGTTTTTGCATAGATCATTTCCTTTATTGCAATTTTTATTATCTGGGTATCTCGCTTTGTATTTTATCTATGTCTTTGAATTATATCCTGCTCATGCAAAGATGCATGAGGCCATTGAGATTTGGCACTACAACACTCCAAGTAGAATCTAGAAACGACTGATATTGCCACCACACTCCGTGGTAGAACTGCCCGCACAAATCATTATACACCCCAATCGATATTCTTCAACGGCTTTCTCAACGGCATATTCACTTTAAAGGGCTCATTAGTGACGGGCTCAAACAGTGACAGCCACCAATGACAACAAGGAAATTAGAAGAAATAATACTAACTCCCGCAATATCGACACGACAAGGTCGTCGACTTGTCCCAGGCCCGCCGGCACTGGCAAACCCAGCACGTTGAAGCATCCCGGCGCTCAATAACTTCGCCGGGATAATGCCACTGGCGGGCGAGACCGCAGGGGACGCAGTAGCGGCGCAAAAAGGACGCCGGCGCCGTGGCGGGGCGAAAGGGGTCGCGCGCCAGCTGCTCGGCGGCAAACTCGCCCACGGGCAGCACGCGGAAACAGCAAAAACACCCGAGGCGCGGCTGCATGTCTGTCCATGTCGCCGCCGTCGCTGTGTCCCGCATCTGCTGTCGTGGTGGCGGACGGCGGCCAAAGTTGTGTGTTCCGTCCTTTTCCGCGCGCATCACGAGGCTGATTTTGCTGGCTTCCGAGGCCAGTTGGGGATCAATGATGCGTTGTAGGGTCTTGCTCAGGGTATGTAGCAGTAGCAGGGTCTCGTAGGGCAGGTGTCTTGCGATCATGTTGACAACCTCTTGGGGAAGGGTATAGAGACGACTTTTCCCCGGGCTGCGCTGGGTATCGTTTACGCTCAAGTGGTGCAGGATAATTGCTCGAAATGCGTCGTCTTGAGACTTGTTCTGCACGTTGGCTTGTGGCGGCGTTTTTTGTACAGGGCCTATGGATCTTGCGATGCGGCCTTGACACTTGGGACAGTTTGGCCCATGACGACAGGCTGTCGAGATTGCCATCTTGACTAGTTTGCGATGACGGTATTAGTCGAGCCTTTATCAGCAAATTAAGTGACCCAGAAAACAGTGAAATCCAGGGAGCAAAAATCTATAGTGATGCGGGCGATGCGACATAAGAAGAATCGTGTTCGGGGCAACTGAGTAACTGTTTCGACTTTTCTCCTAACAAACCGTCCCAGCGGTCGAGTTTATACTGCTCCTCAAGACAAAGGAAAAGTGCGTCCTGTATGTAGCCTCGGCGCACGATACGAAACAGCCTCCAACGGTTGGCTGCAGAAGTCTACAACATGCATCATGTAAAAGTCCGAAATATGAATCCAATATGCAAGGTCTTGATCTACACCAAGGCCTAACTAGCACCCTTCTATGATTTGGAATTACAAGAACCCTGTCCATTGGTATGCCGGCAGTTTGTGATTGATTGATTGATTCTTCTTCTTCCTTGTGCAGATTGTGGTGTTCTTTCACACCGTCTTCTGTTGTCGCATTTCATTTCAACCAAATGCTCGGGTCATTCAGCGGGGCTGCGTGCATCTCAATCTTGGCACAGGGTAACTGGTGATTCTTGCCAGTTTGCATCAATGAAAATTGGATCTGGTCAATGGTGAGGTTGAATTTGTCATGTTGTACACAACTTGGCACTGCAAATTAATGTTCTAGAAAAGATGCAAACTTGTTCCACAAAGAGGCACCTGATCAAGATTTCATGCAAGCTGCCGTGCAGCGATCAATCTGCTGGCAGAGATCCCATTGGCCGAACCCTCTTGGTCGCAACGAGGCCATGGCAGGCATCTTCCAAGATCGTTCATCATATATTGAAATGAGGGCTCTAATTCCCATGGCCACTTCAACAGAATAAGCCGGTCAACTGATTGTATTAGAGCGTGGTAGTACACTATTGCCGCTCCATGCTGCACCAGACATTGTGTGTCTCACGTCAAAATCCTTTTATGATATCTCATGAAAGCATATGATATGATTATTCAACTGTTGTCATTGGTAGAAAATGCATCTTCACAATGATGAAGCAGAAATGCCTCCCAGCTCGCGTGCAAGGAACAAGAGTGTCTCGAGTGTTTGCCATATCGACAGGGATGCCCAATTGATCACACTTTGGTGGAGCAAATGGGATATTATTGCAATTCCCGAGAGAATGGTAACGAGCTCTACGTGTTTGTTGACAATGCATTTCGGGATCTAGCCAGACGATCCATCCAGGGTACTGCCATACCGGTGTGGGTCTTTTGTGATTTGCGCGCTCCTTCGATCACCCAGGTTAGGTAAGTGGTTCGTAGTTGTTGGTTCTGGAAGAAGAGGGGGGCTAGTAGATGGCTACACTATATAGGATGCATCCAGATTAGTATGTAAGGTAGGTAGGCATCTGTAGCTTTACAGTCATATAATGACAAATGCGTTGCTGATAACTACCTGGTCACCAGTATCGCTTGTTATTATTAGCTTTGCCGCTCGACTGCATACAGTCTATCACCAACTGAGTGGCGCAATCAGGGCGATTGATTCCGTCTACTCGTCGGTCCAATATTTCTCAGTCTTCATGGCTTTATCCAATCTGCTTATCTTGTTTGAAAAATCATGTAACCAGATAGTTGTTACATGTTGTCAAAATGGACGGTTGCACCTGAGACTGATTTGGTCGTTGCCATCGTGGTTGGCCCCCCCTAGAGTATGTAAGGGAGCATACTAGGTACAAGCCTGTGTTGCAATTAAACCCAAGTCACAAGCATGGCATGTCTTATTGGTCCTATATGGTGTTTGTTTAGATATATAAAACATTTGACCAAGTCCATCGGGCAGACACGTGCGATCTAAATAACTACAAGTAAATTTGTATTTACCTACTCCTTGCATACTCGCTGATGGATGCATCGTACGATCTCAGCCCATCCAATGGCAGTCCATCATTCTTGACCTGAACCCACTTGAGATTACAGCCCCGAATACATTTTCGCCTTGACGGCTTCATGAATACTGCTGCCTTGTTTCTCACCAGGAAGCTGAAAGTCGTAGTAGTAAGTCCAGCCTGATTCCATCAGACGTTGGTTAGATGGACCATACGATGTACTATAGTATATCGGACACACAAGCATACAGGTATGTGGCGCTTGTAGTCCCTGAACCTTAGTGCATTGCTTAGGCTCGCGCTAGAATGTCTAGTGCATTCTAGAAAGGAAAAGGTTCGCTATAGCATGTGGATCATGTTATATACTCGCCGCGTCTTGTCATGGCTTCAACTCGTCATCCATCAACTACGGAATGCCGTGTCTATTGAGCGTATTTGAAATCACGTTTTGGACCTGGTGGTGACTCATATGTATCTGGACAGATGACGGTTGGTTTTGCCTCTCAATGGGACAGTGCTGTAGGTAAATATCAAGGCTGTCGGATTACTACTACGGAGTAGCGCCCTGTCGGAGTTCGGCCTCGGAATGGGATAAGAGATAAGAAAGGACCTGCCAATTGGCAGCAGTGAAAGTGTGAAACGAGCGCCTCTGTGGCTGATCTGGCAATCGATTTCCGATGTCTGGCATATCTTGACCAGGATACCATTGGCCCAGGTCACGCTGTGCCGTTCTGACGTATATTCTACTCATGAGTTGTCCCCCCCAGACCCCCGTATCAAACGCTCCGCAGAGGCTACGTACGGTACACACGGCCGAGTCTACTCCGTAGGTATGTATGTACATTGCTTACTCCAGGCCGACGCCGACGCATACATAATACGGCCCTGCCATCAATGCGACGGGAGCCTTACCTACCTCGAAGCAAAACAAGAAAAAAAGACATAGAGTCATTCATTTGGTCGGACTGAGGCCATTCCGAGCGATGCCGAGCTGACGGACTGAAGCAGCATTTGACAAGACTTTAAGGTCTTTGTAATAAACTGAAATTTACCTTTATTTCCTTCTCTTGCTTCCCTCAAACCTTTTCCCCAGAGCTCAGCTTTGTTTGTTTTTTTCTCGTGCAAAGTGATTGCTTTGGATCGAGCTCGTAACCATCAGGATGGACGACCACGAGCAAGACTACGATCAAGACTCTACGGAGCAAACGCCGCTGGTGCAAAATGGCCAGGTCGGACGCAATAACAACAACACCCGGCATCAGCGTCGCCCGCCGCACCGGCCCATGCTGTCGGTGGCATCGATTGCCTCGATTGCCAGCGTCAACGTGCCCAAGACGCACAATGGCAACACCATTGTCTTCATCTTTTGCGGGATTCTACTGATCGTCTCGTGCGCCGATGGCTTTGCCAACATTCCGTTGACCAAGATCGTCGAAAACTTTCTCTGCGACCAGTACTACGAGGAGGCCCACGGTATCCGGGCGGGCGGCCCCGATCTGGTCGTGGATCCCCGGTGCAAGATCCCCGAGATCCAGAGCAAGATGGCCATCATTTTTGCGACGGTTGAGGCATGCAACGCTGTCGTCGGCTCACTTGCTGCGCTTCCGTGGGGTTTCGCTGCAGACCGGTATGTACAAAAATGCGAGGGCCTCTGGGATGGACTCTACTCCTCGCAAGCCAAATATAAGTTCCCCCATCATACTGACAGGGCGTATAGACTTGGTCGGAGGCTTGTGGCCACAATAGCCCTACTCGGGTTGGCCATGTCGGTTCTCTGGATCATGGCGATACTGTATTTTTTGCAAACCTTTACCGTGACCCTGGCTGCTACAACAAGCCTATGGCGTGTTGTCGGTGGCGGCTCGGCTGTCCTGGTGGCCATACTTCTCAGCATGATATCCGACGTGATACCCGAGGACCAGCGAGCCACGGCCTTTATGCGCATCCACGTGAGCAGCATGATCGGCAGTCTGGTCTCCCCAGCGCTCTCGTCGGCCATGTTGCGCGTGGCTGGTCCTTGGCCCGTCATGTTTGTGGCCGTGGGCTGCATTTTAGCCGGAGCCGTCGCCTTCATGTTTGTACCGGAGACGATGCAGCACAAGCCGAGCGAGTCTGCCGAGCAGCCGCACAGCGACGACAGCCCACAGGGCATTAGAGGCCATCTAGATCATGCGGCCAAGCAGCTGCGGCATTCAATGTCCATGTTCAAATCGGCTTCACTCATCATCCTTCTGCTGACCTGTCTCACCACAAATCCTATCGCGGGATCCGTCTCGCAGTTTCTTGTCCAGTTCGTGTCAAAGCGCTACGAGATCCCCATCGAGTCAACGGGCTACGTGCAATCGGGATACGGCATCTTTCAAATCATCCACGCTCTCCTCCTCCTCCCGTGGATCTCCAGATTTCTTCTAAGAGACAAGACCCCTAGTTTTCTCCGGATGCCAAACGAACAAGTGCGTGACTTGGCATTAGCAAGGTGGTCCTTTGGGATTTTGGGTTTTGCCTTTTTCATCATGACGATTGCGCCCACATTGTGGATGTTCATCGCCGGGCTCTGCATCTTGGCGCTTGGTTCGGCTGCGACATCTCTTACCCGCAGTCTGATGAGCTTGTATGTGGATCAACAACATCGATCCCGGCTGTTCAGTCTCGTCGGCATTGTGGACACGGTCGGGGGGCTGTACGGTCCGCCAATGTTGGCTGGTCTGTTTTCCCTAGGAATGAAACAAGGCGGAGTGTGGATTGGGCTTCCGTATTTGGGAGTCATGGTCATTGCTGTGCTTGTCGTAATACTGATGCTCTTCATCAGGGTGCCCAAGCAGAATATAGAGGAGCGAGACACATCTGAAGAAGGGAGAACTCATCAAGACTGATCCGGCAGGCCGATCAGTAATTTGTACATCAATCATGAACCCGCTCAGTAGACATTCATATCTAGATTGTATAAATGTCATCACTACTTACTCCTTGGAAACCTCGATACGGCAATAGTCACTTGGATTGCGACGGCTCATTGACAAAGACCATTCAAGGTCTACAGGAATTATGCTGCAACAGAAATGATCAATACGCCCAGAGCTGTTACGCGGTCAAGAGCTTTCCTTTCTGTTTATTGGAACATGCAGTTTCTATGTATCTTCATTTATCACCGCGGACCTGTCATGGAGAGATCTATGTCAGGAGGTCCTGTGATAGACTGAAGCGCCAGGGTAAGCAAAGTGCTATATCGACGGCATAATACAAGACGTAGCTGTTTACTAGGGCAAACGATAAAAAGCGGAGAAGAGTAAAGGAGAGCTTCACCTTGTCAGAGTTCAATACTTGAGCAGAAAGGCAAACTGTAATTCCTTTAAAAATTCTTTGAATCGGCATAGATGAGCGCGAGGTTCTGCGGGGTACATGATGAGTACCACCAATGATGCTGATATTCGAACACACAGCCCCGCATTTTACGTCTTGGGTGATGATGATGGTGATGATCACCAGCTGCGGGCGTTTTATTATTTGAAGTTGTCAATGAAAACTATGGCCTTCTCGGGCAAGTAAGGGCCGGTAATCTTCCGACTCTGTCGAGAGAACCAATACATACTCTCATCTAGAACCAGAAATGTTGAACACAGTCATGTAATGTCGTAGCCAAGAGGCACGATATCTTCTGAGCCGTCAACATGCAGCTATCGCTTTCGAATATACTACATTTCTTTACTGCATATCTCTCGCCCGTGGTCGCCGCTACGAATGACTTGCCAATCACCCACATTACTGCGAGAAAACCCACCTTTGGCTCAGGCTCCTTCCAAAACCCAGGAGCGCGAGTGAGACCAAAGTTCAGATACTGGATCCCTGATGCTTCGGTCGAAGCTGATGTGATATCTCAAGATGTGAAACAAGCCAAAGAGGCTGGCATGGGTGGTCTCGAACTGCTGGGATACCACTTATATGGAGGACCACCATCAAATGGGGCTGGAAGGGGAAAGTTCGCCCCGGTGGATTGGGCCGAATATGGCTTTGGAGGGGAGAGGTGGTGTATGCAAAACCATCGCGCGCGGAACAGATTCAACAAAGCTAATAAAAGTTGTAGATGAGACATTTCGATCATTCGCCGAAGCAATCAAAAACAACAGCCTGGTCATGGACTTTGCTATTGGGCCGAATCAGGGGACTGGCGTGCCGGCACCCGACGATGACGAGGGTCTCATGTGGGATATCTATATCGACAATCAATCTGTCCCGCTGGGTGGCTCGTTCAATGGCACCCTGCCTGGCTGGGGGCGCGGGACTCTCTTGGCTGCCGTGACAGGTTTGGAGATCAACACTACCAACATTACGGCCGCAAACAAATTACAACCAGACCCTGAAGGCCTTCCCGGAGACTACTATCTTAGCCGTACTCAGATCACATTGTCGAACTCCAGTCTCATTGATGTGACAAACAAAGTCGACGATCAGGGACAGATAAGCCTCGAGTTCCCTACCAGTGAGACTACAGCAAGTGGTTACAACATCTTTGCCATCTACGTTGCTTTGTCCGGCTATCGTGCCCAACAGGGACCCGAGGGACTGGGCGGCCCCCAAACCACACCCGAGTCTTGGCTCCAGAATGGGTCCTGGGCTGTAGACCATTTTTCCGCACGAGGTGCAAAATTGACCACGGACTTCTGGAGCAATACATTCTTCAAAATGGAACACGAGAGCTACTCAGAGAAATCGGTAGCTATGCTTGGGAAGACAGTATTGAAATTGTCTCCAACGTGTACTGGACCCGCAATCTTTCAGCAAGTTTCCTAGCAGACCATGGATATGACATTTCCAAATGGCTGCCAATATTATTCCATCGCAATGGTAAGAGCTCTAATAACCCTGCCGTGTGGTGGGTGACGGACGAGCCAGATGGGGGAAATAGCCACATAGCCGATTATCGCTCGACTCTTGCAGGCCTCTATCGCGAATATCTCACGGCTTTGAATGATTGGGCGCGTGATTACCTGGGCCTTGGTTTTTCAGCGCAAATCTCTTATAACCTGCCCATGGACATGCTGGCCAGCGTGCCGTGGGTGAGCGTACCCGAGACAGAGTCGCTAGATTTCAGTGATCTTATTGATGGCTATCGACAATATTCGGGTCCAGTGTATTTGGCAGGACACGGCATTGTTTCTTCAGAATGTGGAGCTGTCAGAGGCGAAGGGTTTAGCCAGACCTTGCCCGAGCTATTGTGGCATGTCAAACGATCCTACGCAGGAGGCGTCAACCAGTTTGTTTTCCATGGCTTTCCATACTCTGGGTACTACGGGAACACGACCTGGCCGGGCTTCACAACGTTTAATTATCAATACTCCGACATGCACGGACCGTACCAGCCAGGTTGGCAGTATTACAGGGAATACATGGACTTTGTGGGACGAAACAATTTCGTGCTTCAATCTGGAAGGCCCAAGATTGACATTGCCTTTTGGCAGAAGAAGACAACGTATCCTGGACATGTTGAACTGAGGACTTACCCGACAACCGACTTGGAGTCAGTCGGGTACACCTATCAGTATCTAAGCCCGGATGACTTGTTTCTTGCTACTGTGGAGGATTCCGTGCTGGCGCCCAATGCTCAAGGATTCAAAGCTCTTGTCCTCCAGGCCAATGATTCCTTGACCGTTGACGGCACGACCAAATTGCTGGAATTTGGCCAGGCTGGGCTACCCATCATCTTTGCTGGCGGTGTACCCTCAAGCTACGTGGGTACATTCGGGCCTGACGAGATCCAGCAGGCTAATGAGAATCTCCAAGAATTGGCAAATCTTCCCAATTCTCACATCACTAGCTCTCTCGAGGTCGGGTCAGCTTTGGCAGACATTGGCATTGAGCCCCTGACTAGGATTTCGTCCAATGGAACCTGGTACACACAATGGCACTGGGATCCGGACAATAGGGTGGACTACATATTTGTGTACAGTGATGCTATGCATACGCCGCAAGGCGAAGGCGAGACGGTGGGGACGATCGAGTTCGAGTCAACCGGTATCCCGTACGAGTACGATGCGTGGACAGGCGATCAGCGGCCAATCATGCAATACAAGCGATTGGCCAATACCACCCTAATTCCATTCCAGCTGGCTGGGAATCAGTCAAAAATCATTGCTTTTCATCCAAGGACCACTCAGGATACTTCGAGGTATCAAGCATCGTGGGAGTTTGGAGATCAAGAATACCCCTATATAAACTCGTCTACATTTCCAGAGCTCGGCAGATATCCTCCTACAATCAACACCACCTTGTCGCCGAGTCGGTGTGACAGCTTTGAACTACAAAACTGGACTCTAATCGTCGAACATTGGGAGGCTCCCATAGACCTATACAATTATACTGGCGGTGCATACCGATACAACACATCACACGAGCTCGAAAGCCTGCAGTCATGGCAAGAGATCCCCGGTTTGCAAAACGTGTCAGGTATTGGTTATTACAGTGCCAGCTTTCATTGGCCACCATCGCAATGTATCAACCATAGCGACATCAGTGGAGCCATGATTGATTTTGGCCATGTTTATCACACTTTGCAAGCTTCGGTCAATGGACGGCGGCTACCAGCCATGGATGTCACGGCGCCCACTGCCGATTTGAGATTTTCACTCGAGGACGGGAGCAATGTAGTCGAGGCGGTAGTTTCAACACCACTCGGGAACACGTTGGGGACAATCTGGAGCAAACTCCAAAGTTCAGGGGAGGGTCCAGCAAGCCCAGACGCCGGAACTGTAAACAAACCTCGAGTAGGTCAGTACGGACTTAAGCAGCAAGTAAAGATCGTGCCTTATCATAGCAATGCCCTCTGGCTTTGATGCACTTCGGAGGAAAACTAAAAAGGGACCTGAAGAATCGATGCATCTTGTTGCCATAATATAATAAATGACAGCATGACCTCGTACGAAGGATGCACAGGATCTAAACGAACTTTGGACGAGCCATATACTCGTATTCCATTTCTAGTCCTTCAATTAGCCGAAGAACATAAGACGCCAAATTGACTCACCGACTCCTTCCTTGGGAATGATTGTTTGTTTCGATTAACAGCATCAATTCCCTGTTCTGATTTGTCATTTTCAGGGGGCCGGGTATTATGGCCCAATGGATCTGCTTCAAGTAAGTGTCCACCAAGAGGGCAATTTCTGGGTACGGTAATGACATGCTATTCGCGGTCTTCCCTGATCTGCGTCCTCTCGGCTGTCAGACAATAATGCGACGGCATCATTTCCTCCTCGGAATAACCTATCAACAGATAGATCATTGTTCAAGGTAGTCTCGCATCTTGGAAACTTGGAAGAGGCTCAGCCACCAAACATGTGAATGATAAGTGCAGTCGAGAATGATGCCATATAGTCCCCAACTCTCGAGCAAGAGTAGAGTTATAATGGCGATGTCCGACAGGATCGTCGTAGAAGCCTCGGCGCGCGGAGCTCAGCGGCTGACACCTTTGGGTATGCCACACCTTTACGGAGACCTGGGCCCCTTTTGATGAAAGAGACCACCGGGAAACATCCGACTGGGTTTCCTGCCCTTTGTTGATATGTTCTTGATAATTTCAATGGACTGGCTCCTAAGGCACAGCAGCTTCGGCGATTGACAGGTTGAGAATAGAGTTTGGCTGCCTCTTTTCTTCCCCCCGCAAAGTCCCGAGGATGAAGTGAGGGTCTTGCGTGTGTAGGCAAAGATACACGATATTGGGAAATTGCAAATCCCCAAAACGCTGGTTCCCCAGAACCTGCAGGCTGTATTCCGTCGGAATGATCCGCGGGGACAGGATTTTAGAGGTTGAAATGTAAGATGCAGGAGTATGTCACGAGTCTCGACTTGGTCACGATGGTGGCTTCAGGAAGTTGACTCGTACTTCTCCCACTGAGGCTACGCCACAACAGAGGGGAAACAGATTATGTGCGGCATATTCTTGACATTTTCCTGCGTCGTTCGCAATGAGGAAGTTGGTTGCAATAGGTTGGGTGTGCTGAGATTTATGTTATTGGACAGTCAAGCCACACTTATACCTGCAAAGATCTGCAGCTGCCAAATGTATGCAATGGGGGAAAGAGGAGAGACCAACGATTTGCCACCACTGTGGCGCAAACAATGGCTGCCCGCCCTTTCTTTTGGACGCAAGGAGCAGCAGCCAACGGTCATATCGTCTTAGGGCCAATAGAGTTCTTCGATCCTTACATGCAATGGACCGATTCATTTTCTTGTCGAGCATTTTTGTCGCCCCCAAGGCGTCTCCCCGCCCCTGGCCGTTTCTTGAGAACAGCCGTTGCGTAACACGCATTCAGGGTCCTCCCTCCACCCAGGCGACGCCAAGCCCATTTGCATGCCCGACCTATCTTCGGTGAGTATAGTTTAAATAAACGGTATGTAATCATGTTTGTCACTCTGTCGATGATCTAGAAGGCTTCTAGAAGGGTGTTTCTTGGCATGTCGACTGCATCTCTGGCCAACCACACGGCCAGGACTACCTATGCCATCTCATCTGTGCCGCTAGGATTGACAGCGGAAGCAGGATCCGTCAATATCAAACCAGGTTTGACAAGATTGAGTAATGGCCAATCTGCTACGTGACATTGCTTTTTCCGTTCCTCTCTTGGGATTGCTACTCCCTCCATCAACAATAAGCTGTGTGCTACGAAACATGTGATACTTCAAGTAAGATTGACAATGACATGTGGACCATCGCCAATTGGATTACACAATTGGCTCGAATGCGATACACTTCCAGGTGCATCCATGAATGGACCACGAGGAGGCTTAATGTCAGGGCCCCCCAAAAAGTACGGTGCATGTATTGACATTGCCGAATCAGTTATATGCATCTCATTGTTGACAAGCCACTCATGGCTACCTGTTTTCCTGTGAATACTCACGTTGGAGACGAAAAGGACCACGCGACTATAAGATACATGGATTTCTTCTCTACGATCTCATCTTGTTTATCGGTTCATATTACAATGGATCATTTCACTCGTTATCTCCCATCTTTAGTCAATAAGAAAATCAGCTGCCCAACAATACGTGTAAATCAACCATCCTATGCGACCTCTACAGCTGGCCTTTGAGCCTCGACACCAATGGCGTCCTCGCAAAACACAACAAGTGACACGAATCATGGCACCAAGTTAGCTCTTCTCCTTTTTATGCTTATGGATGCGTGTCTCCTTCAACTAAAAACGCTCTAATACTTTGCAGCCACAGCGTCACCGACGAGCCGTCGACCGCCAGCCTGCAACGAGAGAACCCAGAAGCCAGCGACAATGATTTGATCAATCTTCGGCTTGCAGCATTTCTGAACGAATCCATGGAACACGGAAACCGTAACGTCATGTTACCGGATCAGACTGCGGATCCATCAGTCACGATCAAGAAGGCCGAGGCTTCCATGGCCAAGAAGCTTCAAGCTATACTCGGCTGCTGCAACATTCAATGAGGTTTATTGCTGAAGTTGTGAAGAGATATCTATAGACCAATGTTTTAGAGTCTACACAAATATTTGGTATGGCTTGCCTTTTTTCCGAGGTTAGGACATCCATTGTTGTAGAGACCAGAGACAAGCATACTTGGAAGCAAGCGTACATAGGACTTTGTAAATTAACATGATTGAAAACCCTTAGAGAAAACATCAAATCAAGACATCACCTTTCATAGCGACATCTTATAATCAACTTTTGGTATTGTCGTGATAATAGCAGCGATTAGACATAGACTCGGGATTGTGTAGAAGACTTCAGTCTGTGTCTTTCCCTTGTCGATCATTGTCGATTATCACCCAAAATCATCAAACGGGACAAATTCGGAATGAAAATTCTTGGCACTGAGCCGGGCATAATTCGAGTATGTCGTTCAACCACCAATGTGTGTGTGTGTGTGTGTGTGTGTGTGTATGTGTGGAGTGTTGGCTTTTGCGTTGGCGTTTACGTGAACCGCCTTTGCATCAGCCCAACAACCCTCACGTCGTGAAACGGCCCCATTGTGTGGCTCCGTGAGTCTGGTAGTAACCGTTACTGACCGATCTATTTTGTTACATCTGACCGATCTATTTTGTTACATTTTTCTTTTCACCCTTTTCGCTTTTGTGACTGACCGGTCCCGTCCAAAGTAACCGCGATGCCGCCCAACGAGGCTCGTGAATCAGATAAGGCTGGCCTAGTATGCCATCTGTCTGTCTGTCTGTCTGCTGTCGCTGGTTACACAGGCTATGATATGCGGGGGAAGAAATCTCACGGAGTACAGTACCAAAAGTACGAAAAGCCATGAAACCGTTAACCGGTGAAGAGATTTGGGCACGTCATTTTCAAAACGTCCAACCCCAACCCACCCCCCACGTTGCATCGTTCGATTGCTTCCCCGATTTCCGATCGCCCTTTTTGCTTTCTTTTTTATTTATTTGATTCTTTTCTACTGAACACGTAGATCGATCATCCTCACCCCCTGCTGTCGAAACAAAAGATGTTTGCCCAACATGAAGTCACGCCGCACAAAGACACTCAGTCAGATCATACCGAAGGAAGTGACATGGTTTGCGAATTTAACTGCTAATGTTATAGAATGAACAATCCCTGAACTAGAAATAGTTGCCATATGCAAGTATTCCCATACCGGTCGTGAAAGGCAATGAATATATTGATTGGCCATTGACCTTTAGATGTGGCCGCATGTTGAGGCCCAACGGTGAGAGGTTATAGAAGTAGCACGAATGCCACGTTCATTCCCTTGTATCAAGAAACAAAGACAAATTGTTCTGCAAATAAAATTCCATTCCATTCCATTTCATCCCATCCAATCCATCAATGTCGCGGGATCGGCATACGGCGCACCACCCTCTCGGGTAATCCCAAGGCCTTGGTATGGATGCGAAGCCCACCTACCTACGATATACTGGCCTCTTGAATGCAGTGTACCACGCGGCGACGTGTTGATTGATTTCCATCAAACCCAACTCCGAACAGGGCGTGCACATCATTGGAGAGACCAAAGATCTCAAAAATGACTAGATTTTGTGCGAGCATTCATCATGCCACCTTTTTTTTTTTTTTTTTGTCCTTTCTTTCGGTGAGAGACCTTGCCGGGCGGCTATTACAACTCTTGACTGCTGTTGCATCGAATGGCAATGAAAAGTACTGAACATTCAGCTGATTTGCATACCAGTTAACCTATCCCATGAACATCTACGCAAAGTATCGGCCGGCGCCATATTGCATGAGCCAGATAAGGGGGTAGCCTCACGAGATACTATGCGTCCACCGGTCGGAGTTGCATTTTTATTTTAGAATGATCGTCCTGTTCTTCTTCTCCTCTTTGATTGATCACATGGCACTTCTCCCGCTTCGGCGGGCTGACATTTTTCACCCCCTGGACGATCTCTACAGGCCACCACGTATAGGGGGTGTACATTCCGTTGAAAAGGTAAGCCGAGTCGGGGGGAGAGAGGGGGAGAGAGAAAGAGAGAGGAGTCGAAGCCCAACTACACCCTCATGCTCGAATGACATATCCATCGCTAAGCGTTCCGTTCTATTGGCAACGAATCAAAACAGATCATCTGCCTCGAGTTTTTATAATTAAAAGAAAAATATGCCATTTTTCTTCCAAACCGACCCCCTGGTTATGATATTTTATCATTTCCCACACACACCGAAAAGATGGAAACTGAATGGCCATGGGAGCTGCCGCTCTTGCATGGCTGCCTTCTCCTAGAGGAAGAAAAGGACGAGGAGGGTAAGGGAAGAAGCAGGCAAATACCGAGATGAACTCCTAATCGCTGGGGGGAAAAATGTGGCAACAGGCGCGACATCGGGGTGTTCCTTAGCTGGCTTACTCCTGTTGAGCAAGCGAGCGAGCGCGCCCCGGCCCGTCTAAAGGATCATCCAAAGGGAGAAAAAAAAAAGGACTGGGCTACGTTGCTTTCGCAACAAACTCTGCCCGACCGATCGATCTACCACTGGACAATTCTTTTGACTTGCCACGCTTTTGAGGCCTGAGGCTCATCGTGAGCCAAAAAGTCTCTCCCTACGTGGCATCTGTTGAGTCGATTATTGTTCGGGAATTCCCCTTTTCAGCACAACAGCCGGCATTGGGGATGAGGCATCTGTGGGAAAGCGGCCAGGTGTGGGCGGGCGGATATATGATGTCCTCGAACCGTCCAGATCAAACTCGAGTTGATCGCCTCAGAGTCTGATCAGATACTCTCTCTCGAGTACTCTGGTTATACTGTGCCCTCTGAACATCCACGCATCCACAATGACCGACACCGAGGACGCCGCCTTGTAGGTTTGCCCACACGATCCTCACTGAGATATTCATCTGACCAATATAGAAGGGCCCAGAAGGAAGACCTGAGAGCCCAAAGATTACAGATATTCATGAGTGAACCACTCTCTCATGGAAATCGCAATGTGATGCTCTCAGATCAGACAACCGATTCGAAGACGGCGGTTAAGAAGTCCAGAAACAAGACAAGAAAACAGCTAGATTCCATGAAACATCTGGATTCGATCTAGCTTTCTTTGACTGTATTAATAGGTAAGTTTCTCATGTCCAGCACCATTGAATAGTGACTGATACAACTCTACCCTACTTAGAGAGTGGGCAGACCACTTTGGTTTGAAATAATGTTGTTACTACGATCTACTAGAGGCAAGACGGCATCGCAAGAGCAAGACGAAGCAATCCCACGCAAGAGATACCCCCAAAAACAGTTTTACACGATTGGCTTGGAAGACTAAATTCTCGATACCCATGTTTCGAGGGAGATTTTCAGTCACTGAATCTAGACGTATTGCACATTCAATAAACAAAAGCCCTCCGAATTTATTTTCTTCTTCTTTGGACCAAAAAGCCAAGAGCAGTGTGATCCAATGAATGTCAGCCCTACAAACGCCAGTATATATGCACATGATAAATACACATGCCCCTTCTCTTATCTGAGGGGTTCTCCCGATGCTTCTCGGTAGCTAGCATCGGTGCTCATGTCCTTTACGCCTTAGCGGTTGGACATGCGTTGTTTCAACAGGAGGAACCACTTGTACATTCCTGACTCTCCCCCTTGGAACTTTTCTCTTTCTTTCTTTTTTCCCCCTCTTTTCCCTCCATATCCAACATGTCAGATATATACAAGTCGCTACCTCGTCCGTTCGTCCCCGCCGCCCGCCACCGGGGGCCGCTGGCTCCTGAAGCCACCAATACGCTCAGCGCGGCCCAACTTTTCCTCCTCGCGGCGGATGGCCTCGGGGTCCTTTTGCGGCAGGCCCCACCACTCGCGGTGGAACTTTTCCTGCTCAAGCTTGCGTCGCTCCTTGCGCTCGCGCTCCTTGGCCCGCGCCATGCGGCCGGCGAACCACTCCTCGCGCGCCCGGTCGTGCTCGGCCTGTGTTGCGTGCGCCGCCATGCACGAGTTCATGGCCAGCGTGAGTTGACGGCAGGCAAACGATACTGTAAACGTGTGTTGCTTGGCGCACTCGGCAAAAGCTATTTCCCCAGAGCGTACGGTCAGCCTCTTGATGTTCTGGCCCAGGTTCCCTCTGGTTCGGGGCGGACATGTAAAGGTATTGGAAATGAAAGAAGTCTGAGTTCGGTCGAAGGGAATCAAAACATTTGAGTGTTGGGGAAGGGCAGCGCAATAAGGGCCTCCCCCCAGCTAGAACATACCTCTGACCTCGTCGGCACAAGCCCTCCGTACCCTCTGGTTGAACACCTCGCGCACCTGTGCTTCTTGGCTTGCGGAAAGTGGCAATGGATTCCGTGAAGGCATAGCCATGTTCTCAGTGCCATTGCCACTGCTGCTGCTGGCACCTGCGCCTGTCGAAGGGGAGGCCATGGTCGCCGCCGCTGTCAATGGTTGCTGAGCCCCCGGCGAGCTCCGGCTCGCGATTGGCTCGAGATCTAGCAGAGCTTCTTTGCTCTTGAGTGGGGAGGCGAGCAGAGAGGTGCCGGTGTCGTGATTTTGCAGGCAAAGGTAGCAAAGAAAATCGTTGCTCAGGAAATTGACCTTTTACAAATTGTCGTGAGATATCGCGGAGCTTTTTCGAAGCTAGGTTCGGTAGGTAGGTATGAATGGTCAATCGGACGAGCGAGTGAGCGACAGGCGGCAGGGGTCTGCTTGGAGAAGGACGCTAACGCAGTGCCCGGAACCATTGGGCTCTCCTGTACGATATATGTAGGTATTGTGCAGTGTACCTCAGGTACGGCTTGTGTGCATATATCTTCTTTTATGCACTTACCAGACGTATCAACAGCGCAGGTGAATCGTATTGTTTCGCTGACTTACACCGCGAGATTCATGATATTCGAGATTTACCTTGATAGTCACCTTGTAATTGACTTTATTACAGAACATCATTGCAAGACGGTAGTTACAACTGAAATCGAGTCGTATTTATTCTTGTTATTGTTATTTTGGCTATAACCACGAGTGAAAATACATCTGGGCATGCATGTAGAGGGTGCATAATACTTTTCAACACTACCCGATGCATACAGACAACACTTGCAAGAATGCTTGGAGGATAACAGTGCTGCAATATCTAGAGCAGACATCAAGCTCTGCTGTCATCATCCGTAGTAGTAGACGGGGTCGGCGGCACAGAGTCATCGTGGTCCACCTCGAGGCTTTCTCGCTCCTTGCCTGGCTTCTTCTTGATCGAGAACCTACCCCAACCAGTGCGGCCTTCCTTGGTTCCTGGCCGCCCTGTTGAGGTTGAAGAACCAAAGCCAGGGCTGCTACTGACACTATCATAGCTACGACCAAGTGCAGCAGCGGCCATGGTGCCATTATCTTCGAGAAGTTCATCAATGTCAAAACTGGTGCGATCTTGGTTCTTGTCAGAATTGGCAACGCTTCCCGGACCCTTCTTGCCGCCCACGCCGCGGATCGAGGAAAGACTGAATTTTGACGAGCTTCCCTTGCGCAGCAACTTTCTGAACCCGCTTTCTGGCTCCTTAAGCCCAGATCCAACAGCAGGCTCTGAAGGGGTGTTAGAGAATGATTGGTCCAGGGAAAGCGACTCGCGAGACTCCGAAATTGATGGTGTCTCTATCGAAAAGGCATCTCGCGACATGCGATGATCAGAGGGTGAGTCATCCAATGAGGCCATATCCGTAATTTCTGATGCAGAAGTTATAGATTCGCGCGCCTTCTTGTCCTTGGAGACGGTCTTGTCTCTGACCTTGGCCTTGCCCTTGTCCTTGTCTTTGCTATGATTCGACTCCCTATCCCTACTTCGGAACGACAACATGAAGCTGGGCGCCGCCGGATTAAGACGTTGCGTCAATGTTCGAGCTGGAGCTCTGGAACCAATCACTCCAACCACGGACGGTCGGCGAAGGATATCGTCTTTGTCCAAGATCACATCATCGGCGTCGGCCAAAGTCGTCTTCAGTGCTGAAGGTGAGCCGTGTAGCGACGGTCTCCTAGAGGGATTTCTAGAGGACCAAGGATCGCCGCCCTCGGGTGACCAAATTCGGTTTTGATGTTGTCGACCCCAGATGGGACCACTTTCAGTTGATGGTCTCGGTAGATCTGTGGATGATATTGACACGGGACGGGGACTACTTGGATCCCTCTCAGAGTAACCACCTCCAGCCGCATTTGCAAACAGTCCGAGGTGGCGGGAGACCAGGCCTCCGGAGCCGGACGTCTCGAGTGTTCCAGGCCCAGCAGAATTTCGATTAAACATGTTCCACCCTCCGCCACCCGAAAGACTGATTCGTCGCCTGCCAGGCAAGACGCTGCCATCATCATTTTGCCGCGGTAGGGATTGACTCTGATGAGACTTGAGAGAGCCGAGTGCTGGAGGCTCCTCGGTGTTCTTCTCACCCCGATTAAGCCAAGGCAAAAGGTTGAAGCGATTACTCGCCGTCGTACGTGGTGCTCCGGGTGATGCTGTGCCCATTTCTCCCCTCAAGGACATCCTCTCACTAGTGTCGCCCGTGTATTGAGAAAAGGGCAAGTGTTGCGTCGAGCTGCGTGGGCTCGAGATGCTCAGCGATCGCCCAGAGGAGACAGGCGACTGCGGATCGTTCTCGGGAGATATGTTCGAACCAAAGGTTCCTTGTCGAGCAGGTCGAGACTCTGGACTGGGAGGCTCGTCATCATCGACCATATCGAGCATGCCGGCGGGAAGCAATGCAGCTGCTGTAGGACTAAGGGGCGCCCCGCCTGTTAGTGCTGCAAGGCTCTGATCATCAAGCTGGCGAGCAAAGTCCTCATTGGACTCGATTGAGAAATCCCCGTAAGTCGGCATGCCTGGTAGCTGTGGCATGGATCCCTCCGAAAACCCAGGCGGAATAGTTGGTGCACGTGAGACCGCAAACATGCTCGGCGGGTATGAGCGGTCTGTTATGGCAAAAGACGAGACTGGTGATGGTCCAGTCACATTTGGCGGCACAGAAGTGCCCGTGCGACTGCGCCTCTTGAGCTGATTCTGGGTCGCAATGTCAAAGTCCACGCCCGATGAATTGGCCTGGTTGTAGGAAAATGCAAGTCCAGACTGTTGCGCTGCCATCAACTGTTGTTGCAAAAGCTGTTCATACTGTTTCTGGTTTCGAATCCTAACCTTTGCAAAACCGAGTCGGCGGCTCAAATCCTGGTGCTTGAGGTCCCATTCCCGCCGAAGAAGACGATCTCTCTCCTGCCATTCATCACTCTCCTCGCCGCCCGGAAGCTTCTTGCGCTGGTTTTCCGCCTCCTTGAGCTCCTTGCCTTTCTCCTTGAGCTCTCGCTCTTCAAGCGCAAGGCTAGCCTGCAGAGCATCAATGTCCACTCGGAGCGTCGTGATCTCTTGATCGGCCTCGTTTTGTGCAGTCATTTTGTCCTCTTCAAAAGCACCTTGGCGCTCATGCATCTTTGTAATATCCTTGTCCCACTTGGCAATCTCATCGTGAAGCTTGCCAAGCTCGCTTTGCTTGTCCTTCAACCGCTTTTCAAGCTGAGTCTTCTTCTGCTGCGAGCTTCGCATAGCCCTGTCTGTGGAGCCCATCTCTCTCTTCAACTTTTCTGTTGTGTCGTCTTTTTCCTTGAGGATCCGTCGCTTGGATTTCTTTTCGTCCGCTAATTCATCCATGAGATCCTTGTGCTCCTTTTCGTCCTTGCCGATTTGTGCCTGAATGTCTTCCATCTCTTTCCTGATGTTCTCAAACTTTTCGCCCAGCTTTTGCAATGACTCTGCTGGTATTTTGCTTAAAACCTCTCGAACAGATTGGTCCATGCTTGTCGTCGACGGTGAGTGTTTCCGAGTCAGGGTGTTGCGCCTTGCTATGCTCGAAGCTCCAGCTGGGCTCGGAGGAACAAGGGAATCCTTTGAAACAGAGGCAGTTTCGACGCCAGCGGCAGGGTTTCGAGGCGTTCCATCGTCATCGTGGGTGGTGATTTCGGCTTGCGCCTGTTCGCTAGGATCGAAATTTGACGGAAGGCGACCATCGCCAAGCTGTGGACGGCCATCTTTCGAAAAGGTGCAAAGCCTAATGACTCGACTGCCTGCTTGAAAATTGTTGTGCCCCACAGCAATGATGACTACGTTGTAGTAGTGGTCCGGCTTCAGCCCCGTCACTGTGATTGCCGTCTCTGTTGGTGCTGATTCACCCACTGCGCATCATCAGGTTAAACATGTGAGTTTCTTCAAGTCCCGTGTATGGGCAGTCGACTTACCCGAGATGCCATTCACCTGGATCAGGAACTTGGAAACGGGGCGATTAGCGCGAGGCCGCGTCCAGTGCAGCGTGGCGGCATCTGGACGAATACCGGCAAGCGAGACGTCAGGGGCATCAGGAACATCGACACCGAGGATGCTAATGAGTTCGGGTACGGGCTTTCTCAGCGTTTGCCATGTTCTTTGGACCAACCTGTAGAGTCACGAGGGGGTTAGCCGGCTGTACGTGCTGCCACGAGAGAGGAGCAGGAGACATGACGGGGGTGAAGTTGGCGTACCAGAGAATCGCAGCACCGGTCACGAGCATATTGGTGTGATGAAGTACGAGATAGTCGAGCCTGAGAAAGGTGACAACATTGATGCTCGTGTCGAGGAGCCAGGCAGGCGAGTGCTGGGCCAATTCTGGAGCGATGGCCCAGAAAAACAGCAAGCAGCCAATGACGACGATCAGGTTGAGATGTACCGTCTTAGGCTCGGTGAACCACCAAGCAACAACAGCACAGACAACCAAAACTGTAGGTACAGACGTCGTCCATGGGGTCCATGTCATGTCGTCGCGAATCGGGGGACGACTGGGAACCTCGATGAAAAATTCCCGGTCATAAATGCGATGCGGCGGCGGAGTGGGGAGGAAAAGAATCGATCGGGGTGGTAGGTTAAAGAAGAAGGACGGGAAAATGCAATGCAAATTCCTTCGCGCTCACAGTTTCGGGTCGGAGGACTAAACTACTGCTGCTTGGTTGCTGCTGGTGCTAGGCTAGACCGTTTGTACCTAGCCCACGGCACTGCACTGACCCCAAATTTACAGAGTGGATTTTAACCTCTTAGGCGGGCGGAGAGCGGATTCTCTTGCTTTTGTTTGGCTCAATCTCAAGCCTTCCACGCCTCGGGCTGCCTGTCTCTAGTAGTAGGCAGCCAGTCCAATCACGAACAAATCACCTGGTCGTGTGTTTAGAAAAAGATAAACTGAGAGCAATGGAAGCATATCGGTTTCAGATTCGGACCCTGACGTTTTCCGGGAATGATTCGTATTCTTCCTTTTACAATCCCTCCCTATTTAGACTAATGTACGGTTGCATCTTGGTCAGCCTCATCAGGAGTGTTAAAAGTAGTTTTCTTCGTGCAGCTTATGTTCAAGGGCGGCAGTTGCATTGCATTTGGAGGGCACGGGGGCGAGAAGGGTCCGACCAACAAGTGTCGTCCCGTTTGGGGTGGAAGGATTGATCTGCAGGACTTGAAGTCGTGCTGCCTGTAGTGTATATCAAAGGTAGATACTTATTTGTCCTCATCAGGTCGCGTGTCTATCTATACCTTGCCTAGACGAAATTGCATAAAGCAAAGCCATGCCTCCATCCATCCACTCATTCTCAACGGCAACGCCTATGGTTGGTCCTGCGAATCAATAATCTCTATGCATACAGTACTCGAATGGTGTACTCCGTGCTGCATATGTTGTTGGTTCACTGCATGCTGAAGAAAGAAAAAGAGTCTCTAAAGCCCCCAAAGCGGCACCAACGGTGTTTCCCACATGGACGGGCGTGCTTACAAGAACCGGCTCACCCGCATTGCAGCAGGGCCAATTGCATTTGGCCAACATCAGACTTCGGCAGTGACCACGCAACCACGAGAAGCCAAGGTGCTGACCCCCAAGGCAAAGGGTGCGGTAAACCACCAAATTTGTGCGAGGGTAGCATTGCGCTAATGCAAACAAAGGCTGAATCTGGATGGCACACCACACAATATCATGTAGTATTGACGTGTTTTATACCAATATAATGGAGGATTATACTGACGGGCTCGAGCCCTCGTTGAGTGGAAACATGCGAGGTTCAGATGGTCGGTTCGCGTTCGGCTTCGATCTATGAATGCACCGCAAATGAATCGCTGCCATAATGTTATCGTTATCATCATCAGAGTACTTAACATATGCAATACTTGTCGCTGACATCAACACAGTCATCTCTCCCAGCCTCCAACCCACGTTGACCCCACACTTTTGGAAACTTTAACAAGAATTGACTTTCCTCACATTACTACGCCAAATGGAGAAGGGCAAGGAAGGCCTCTTGAATGCCCAGCACTGATTAAACATGCTTCGCGGGCTGCTGCTCACACCGATGGACATGCATGAGGAATCCATCAAGACAGTATATATGCAACGCCTAGGACCCAGGCGTGTTGACTATTATACTACATCCGTTTCTGGTGTGGTGGTGAGTCCTGTTATTCCGTACTGAACTTCACAATCACCTCTCTGCATGCACGAACCAACCATTTGCAGCACCTCATTGCCAAAGGTAGTATTTTTGAGGAGTTTTAGCAACACGTTCTTTCAGGGTGGGGGAGAGGAAAAGTACTGACTACTAGCATCTCTTCTGCAATCACAAACGATTCATGCAATCGTGCACGAGAAATACCATTGATTATTGCACCACAAACTATTCTGGCGACAAGAATTGTATGATACGTCAATCAACTCTCCAAAGCTTAATTTGAGTGGAGCATGAACCCCCTCACTTCTAGTGCTCAATCCCTTTTGATGGTCCGCAAGACGTGAATTTCTGAGAGTCACATGCATTGCATGGCATGATTCAGGCCGCGGATTCGTTCGATCATGTGGATCGGCGCGCTTCCGTTGCTACCATACGCGAGTGCTGTCACTGCTGTTGTAGACCGATGTCAAGGATGCTAATGGGCGGTCGGACCTTTGCCCGTCGGGGGGCATTGTTACCATTACAAGCAATGCAGATCCGCGGCTCTTGTGACTCATTGGGTCTCTACTAATCTTTTGTCGACTCCTAAAGAGTAGAGACATGTAGTATAATCCCTACCCCTTATTAGTACTGCCGTAATAGCTCTTGGGTATGGCTCAATAATATTGTACTGCACTATTGTGTTTCTGTGTGCCATTGGAACACTGCGGCCTTTAACCGCGGCGTCTTCCGTTCTCCAGTTTACAGCTTCCTATCTGGTTCAGCTGTCTATCGAAGCGAGAGCTCTCAGAGCTCCATGACTTGGCTTTGCTATCAGCAACATGTCTGGAACGTACGACATAGAACTTTGGAAGTAGGTGAAAAGATGCGAAATGTGTCCACCTATCGAGCTACTGCTTAGCCACACCATCCTGCAAGCCATCTCATATACTCTTTATTTTATAGTACAACTCCTTGAGACTTTTGTTTGAATTTCGCAACATTTCAAGAATTGCATGGTTGGCTACCCTGTATAGTTGATCACGGGAGAGGAGGGTTTCGTCATTTTCGCTTATACACACGGGTCTGCTCGCATTAGAGGGAAAAGGTCCTTCCTTCTGCGAGATGCTGTTTGATCTGTAGAGAAGCTGGTAACAAGCCAACCCTAGGACACAATCATGGTGTGATATATGAATATCTATCAGACAATGTGCCGCAGACCCTGATTGAACAATCTGGATAGGCCAGCAAAGTCACCGTGCCAACGCCAGATATAAGTTGGGGGAATCGTTGTATAGATTCGGAGACTGTTGCTTGTGGTTCTGCCCAACACAAACGCTCTCTTCAAAGCCATCGTATCAAACTTCCTGTATTTCTTCCAGAAACGTCATAATCCAAGATGCAGGTGGTCCAGATAATCTGTAACCGACTGCAGTGAGCAACGTCACCCAAAAAGAAGAAAAAAAGGAGAGAGGACAATCTCATGGCAGACAAGTTAAATAGAAGATTCACACAGTATGCGTCAAACCACCATGACCATCTCAATGAGCGGTCTTTCCGCAGAGTTGCCATCATCGATATCAATTACCATGGCCTACGTTTCCTGGATCTAACCCGGACCTGATCAACACTGAATCCTATAGGGCTGCTAAACGCTGTTCCGGTCGTCAATGGATAGGTAAGCTTTGTGTGTCTGGATGCGTGATGCCCCAGGTAAGCGAAGGTCGGTGAGTTATGTTGTTGGTAATGCATGGGATTGGCTCCACTAACCTTAAGAAGAACCCAGATTTGCTCCCGGAGTGGTCTTTTCGGACTTAATTTCTATGCACGGGATGCATCGGCGATATAATTGAGATTCTACTGACTCAGGAAGTTATTACCGTTAAGTTCGAGTCGATATGGTTCATTAAGATTGATTGAGACCTTGGTACTCTAAGATGCTCACCGTCCAAGTTGCAGTGAAAACCTATCGCCGATGCTGGAAGAGCTTGGCCGCCCATGCCATATATCATGCAAAAAAGGGGGAAATATATCATAGCTCCAAGAGGCTGGCCCTTGACACTTTTATATATTTATCAGACTCAAAGAATATCTTGTGCAGAGAGATAAGTATCACTCGAGCTACAAAGTCTTGACTGATCAGAACTGTCGACATTGAGTTGATCAATCCGTTGGTTCCCGTTGATTCAGAAAGTAAACCAACTCTAAAGAGCATCGAAATCTTCACAATGTCTGAAAGGGAGAGCGACTTGAGAATACCACCAATGCAGCCTCCCTCGGTTGAGACGGCAAAACACCAACGATCTATTACTGGCCTGCGATGGATACTCGTGTGCACAGCCATCTTTTCGTGTAATCTTCTGTACGGCCTCGACAACACCATCGTAGCTGACATTCAAGCCCCAATCATTGCTTCTCTGGGCAACGTCAACAAGCTTGGTTGGCTTGGAATCGGCTTCCCACTCGGTGCAATTGGAATTATTCTGCCCGTGTAAGTCTGGATACATCAACAAAATTCATCACGACCTCACTAATACGCTACTGGCAGTGGCAAATCGTATGCAGTGTTCGATGTGAAATGGCTCTACTTTTGGTCACTGACCATGTTCGCTGCCAGCAGCGCTCTATGCGGTGCCGCCCCCAACATGGACGCCTTGATTGTTGGTCGGGTATGGGCTGGAGCTGGTGGTGCTGGGATGTACTTGGGGTACGCATGACTCTAATTACAGTCTTCCCAGCTTGTCTAACGGTCAGCTATAGAAATATCAATATGCTTCAGCTCTTGACGACACCCTCGGAACGAAGTGTTTACATGGCTGGGGCCATTCTCGTCTATGGTACTGGAGTCATCCTCGGGCCAGTGGTGGGAGGTTCTTTGGCTGATAGTTCATCTTCGGGCTGGCGATGGGTTTGTAACAGTCAACAGATCCCCGAGTATATCTATGTAAGTGATTGCTAACAATGTATTGCAACAGGCTTTCTATCTGAACCTGTTCATCTTCGCCACAATGGCTCCGATCTACGTCTTCCTCCTCCCTTCGATGCAACCTCAGATGGGATGGACCCTAGCCAAAAAGTTCCGATCCATTGATTGGCTTGGGACAATTCTCAGCTTTTCCATCTACACGATATTCGCCATGATCTTCACGTTTGGTGGTTCCATATGGGACTGGTCAGACGGCCGAATGGTTGCGCTGTACGTCGTGTTTGTCATGGTGGCCGTGGCATTCACATTGACACAATATTTTGCGGTACTGACTACCAAGGAGAACCGCATCTTCCCTGTGCAGTTTTTGCGTGAGCCGACAATGGTGCTCTTGTTGACGTGCTGTACGGCATTGAGCGGCGCGTTGTATGTCATCATCTATTACCTTTCGCTCTTTTACTCGTTGGTGCGCAACGAAAATGGCGTTCAAACGGCCCTTCGCTTGCTCCCATTTGTCATTTTCTATGTGTTTGGTGTCATGCTAAACGGCATCTTCATGGTACGCTGGGGGTATTACATGCCTTGGTTCCTGGTTGGCGGTATCCTCATCACGATTGGCGGTGCGCTCCTATATACCAGTACGATAGACACTACCAACGCCAGTTTGTACGGCTATTCCGTCCTGGTAGGGCTGGGCCTGACACCATTCCAAGCTTCCTATTTCGTTGCCCCGAGCAAGGTTCAGCCTCATGAAATCACTGAAGCGATCCAGTTCATCAATATTGGACAGCAGGGTAGTATCCTCGTCGCGCTGGCTATTTGCAACACCATCTTTCAGAATGTCACATCTCAGAGACTTCTGACCATCCTTGTTCCGGCTGGATATTCCGAGGAAGATGTGACGGCGGCCATTTTCGGAGCCAGAAGTGCCGTCTTGCAGTCTGCACCTGCCGAACTCAAGCAAGCTGCGCTTGAAATTATTGTTGATGCTATCGACGATTCTTATATTCTAATCATCATCTCCGGCGCTATACTCGTTGTCAGCGCGGCTCTCATGAAACGAGAGAAAATCTCGATTCAGCTCCAGGCTGTAGGTTGAGAAACGCGCATATTGAGTGAAGGCGACAAAGGAGGTGAAGGGAGACCGGGTGAACTCGCGGGTTTCCAATGATCACAGGATGGCGTGGGATTAATGATTCCAATCTGGATTGTTTCCGAAACGACTAGTTTCTGTAGTACCATATGTGACTCTAGAACTAGACTATAGATAAAATTATAATGATATGTTAGTTAGAATTTGTTGTTATCTGATCAATTTTGACAGAAATACGTGGGAAGCTTTACACTGTACCTCACGCCAGTCCTGAAGTGCCACAGGCTATAGCGAAATACCGGACTTCATTGGGGAGGCTCGAGACACAAAGTATTTCATCGTGTGCATTAACGAGCCGAAATCTTGTCTCTGTGGACTAGGTCATATAGCCTGCTCGTTACTAGAAATTGTTGCCGTTTTTCCGATCTGCTATTGTTTCCCCTCACTATTTCCAAGACGCCGAATCCTTTCTTTGAAAGAGTTGTATTTTGACGTCAACTTGGCCCTATGCGCAACCGTGAGGCCTAGGTTAACATCTAATGGCTCACGATGAGATCCTCCCAAATCCCCTGGCTAAAACAATTAGATCATAGAATTGACTGTAGTTTTCAAAGGATGCTTACACATTGCCCCTTGGTTGGCCGCCAGCCTATGCTGATGCTCAGAGCTGACATACCTCCGCGACTTCATCGACAACTTGGCTTAGAATTTGTCAGCGATGGTTCATATTCAGTGCATGAGAACTCTCAGGACCCCGTCATGCTTTACCCGTTTTCCCAAACATAAGCAAACAAAGCGCGATGATGTTCGGATCGCCAATTCGACCAAGCGTAGAGTGAAGCTGACAGTGCCAACGGCAACCAGACGCAAAGACCTTTCCCCATGGTAGCCTGGTAGCTGACTCCTAAGAATACTACGTATGATTTTCAGACAAGCGCTCTCAGATTAAAGCCACACTAACCTTATTGTTTATTCCTGGAACGTAATGCTAGAACGGCAATGACAGCGATCTCGCGGCCGCTGCGGCCGTACTGGGTGGGTTAAGACCCACTAGATCTTCAGCCTGGGGTTCGAGTTTGGAAGCCTGAAGGATTCATGAACATTCCATTCGGGGTAGAAGATCCTATAGTCCGCAGCATCAGTTTTCTTATAATGAGTCTGCCATTGAGAATGGGGCGAAAGTGGCTGACAAACAGAATACTCGCGCTTGCAGCCTGGCTATGAGACTTCATGATCTACAGATTCGATCCGGTAGGATTCATGTACTTTCTGTCATTCAATGATACCCTAGTCTTATTTCTCTAACGTATAATCAATCTTAGTGTCTAATTCGGGTCAAACCTGAGTATAAATGGAACAAATTCCCAGTGGACTCGACTAAAAAGCTTCCATCACTCAAGCTTATTTATTCATTACAAAACACCCACGTATTTTTAGTATCCCGTCTAACGACAATTCTAACCCTGATTATTCAAAATGCGCTTCTTCGCAACGGTAAGCGGCCTATGCCCAAGTTTGATACAGTATTGCTTAACAGTCCCACTCAAATAGATTGTCCTTGCAATGACTGCCGTTACGGCTGGTGCCATGCCCGTCACCGCCGATGCCAACTCGTACTTCATTAGCAAGCGCGATTGCCCCGGGGGCAGTGTTACGAATTGCGCTGCAGGACTCGACGCCTTCTGTAATATCGAATGCTTGAGTGCGGATGGGGACCTGGGGTGCCTCAGCAGTTGCATCAACAACAATTTTTCCCTTTGCCAGGCTCAATGCCAGTAAATGGATGCAAACCCATCATGCTGGGGACTTGAAGGATCTGGAGAGTTTTGTGCACTCGATGACGACGATCAGTCTCGATGTCCTATGTCATCTGTTTAGTTACAGGCAACTACATCTTTGTGCTATTTGGCACAGTGTTCTGTAGATCGAGTGTTGCTAATAAACACGCAATGCGTTGGCGAGCGTGGTTAGTGAGATAGTAATTGTTCGATATGAACCACTACTTTCTTGTATCTAAGACTTGGTGATCACTGCTATCAAGTGTATGACTATTTATAGGGACGACAATTTTATAAAGCTTCACCAATTCGGAGAAATAAAGACAAACGCAAAGACTTAGGTTTAATGCTGTCATTGGCTCGCATAATATCGAATACAACTACGTGTCACGGTGCTTTACCATTTTGCTCGGAACGATTCTGGGAAGCGCTATGCACCAGATGAGAATCCGGCAGGGTCTTTCGTGGAGATTGTGAGAGAGCGCATCTTGGCCAAGCTTGAAAGTCATGGGACCAGGTTTTCGCAACTATGTCAAGACAGTAAAGAGTGCGCAATTCGGGACCAACAACGAGCTCTTCTCCATCTTCGCCCACAGACTGGCCCAGCTTTGCGCTGCTTTCATGCCCTACCTCGATCCCTCCTTTATGGCCATCGATTTCCTTCTCATGTTATCCAACACCTTTTCCGGAACTCTTGTCCCCAAGCCCGTCACTCTGGCAGTGCGGCGTTGGTATTATGAAGTATCGCCTCTTCTAGCTCAGCGAGGGTGCCACACCCAACCTCCTATACGGACTTCGTTTTCGAGGCATCATACTGGAGTTCATTACCTTCCAGGTATTTCAAATGGGACCACTTGCGACGATTACGTTGACGCGTTCTTTCGTACAGTCACAGGATATCTTCTGAACTGGAATGCAACCTCTGATTGCCAATACTGTTGCTACAAGGACGGTCCAGTCATATGTATGTGCTTTTCCCTTTCTACCCATTGTTGTCCCAATTGAGCCTCTGTTTTTATGACTGACAGCAACGTGAGTGTTTGAATAGTACATCCAGTGGGGCTATAATTTTGCAAACTGGTGTAAAATGTCGGAAACTTTATGTTTCATCGCGTAACTATACTGCTGTTGTAGCGCTGACCGATCTCACCAAAGTCCGGAAATGGAAGCATAACTGATTACCTACCGGCAGGACATGGCTGAGTCTCGCGCTCAGCATTCTAAACCGTATAGAATAGAACGCCCTAGATTAGAAATGGCAGTCGACTTAGGTTTCCCTCGTGCCATGGATAGGCAAGGAGCATCGCCACAGATTATCAAATGGATATTTCGATATTATGCTAATGAAAAGTATAACAATGAGCGGGGCAACTTTGCCCAAGTCTTGAATTACATCTAAAGAATCATGTTTGCCGCGTCAAGACGGGATAATAGCTCGAATATGAGAAACACAAAAGAATAACAACGCATGGGCTGATATGATCAAAGGTTCGGCCAGTTCGGCAAGTCAGAGGAATGCAGGCAGATGATGGACAAGCATTTCCGGCCGATTCGCCTCACGATCTTGATTGGGTATACAGGCACCAAAGACATGCCAATAAAAGCAGCACGTTTAGTTCGCATAGGTTGGAAAGTGGAAGCCAAGCCTGCAACATGCCCTCCTCCACTATCACATGCATGCATGTGCAGGTGGGCAAAACATGGGCGGTAATGGCCGGGCACTGGCAGGCAGGCTAGTGCGTACTGGGTTTAACGTGTCTACATTTATGAAAGCTCCCTTGCAAGTCCTCCCCCCAAAAGAATCCACAGCTCGACTTATGGGCGAAGCCGCAACATTTTCCTAACAGTTGAGGATTTAGATTTGTTAACAAACCCAACAAGAGCCTTTCCCATAGACCACAATGAGGGGGGAAGGTGGGAAAGGAAGAAAAGAAAAAAGTGACAGCTCTAAGTAATCGGCTTACGAAACAAATAATGGTCTTACCATGAACAATGGGAAAATTATTACGTTGCCACTCTCGTATTTCTTCTTCTTTGCCCTCTTCTCAAAAGTATCCGTGTGTCCTCTTGACTTGATTGTAGACCGAGGTTGTCTAATCGTACAAAACGTGCACCTTTAATTTATGATTCAACCTAAGGGAGAAAAAATAAACAGTCTTGCTCTTTGCCGATTATCCATTTGATCCCGACTGCCAGCGTCGCCTAAAGTAATAAGAACAATCACAAGCCCGACAGGCGACTGCAAAAGACCGTCGGGTTTTCTCGACTACGTCACTCCGGGATACCCTAGCAAAGACAGCTTACCTCAACCCTCCCACGAGACCTTTGACAGAAGACTCTCCAGTCAGCAGCCATCATTGTTTCTGTCGCAACCAAACCCAGGCTCTCTCTGCCTCTGACCCAAATCGACAACAACAGAACCTTTTATTCTTTTCACTTCATTTCACTCGTTTTATTTGTATAAAACTACCAGCGCGCAGAGCCTTTGCTTGGGTCGTCTGAGATTTCCGTGATTGCCGCCGTCCCGTCTGTTTGCCTATGTAGCTTTGCGCTCTTCATCCGTGCCTCTCTCCTAGAGAGCATTGACACCAAACCCCTAACCCCCTTACAATCGGCCTACGAACAGCAAGGAAGGACGTGCGACACTTCAGCGCAATCCTCCCAGTTTTCCCTTTGGCTCAAGCCGTTTGCGACACACGGGTCATTCGAGAACCCCTCGAGCTGCAGCCATCAGGCAGTATAGTCACCAGACGCTGGTGTAAAATCGGCCGGAACCATGCAATACGTCAGAAACATCAGCGACTCTGTGTCCACGGCATGGAACTCCATCAACCCCTCTACCCTCAGTGGTGCCATCGATGTCATTGTCGTCGAGCAGGATGACGGTACATTGGCCTGTTCGCCCTTCCACGTCCGCTTTGGCAAGTTCTCCTTATTGAGACCCTATGAGAAGAAGGTCGAGTTCAAGGTCAATGGCCTCAAGCAAGAGTACTCCATGAAGCTGGGCGAAGGTGGCGAGGCATTCTTTGTCTTTGAGACGACCGACAATATCCCGAAAAGCTTGCAGACTTCGCCCCTCGTGTCTCCAGCGTCTAGCCCGCCGCTGGATCCCGATCAATCATCTCCTGGTGTCCTGCAAGAGCCAGACCTCCTCCAGCTCGATGGCAGCCCTGGCAAACCAAGATCTCTCACCCTCACGCGGCCAGGGCCCGCCCCGATGCTCGCGCAAAGCCTCTTATCCCCTAATGCCACCTCTCCCGAGCTCAGCCATGGACGTCCCGTCTTGAACGATCTGCGCGACCGCCGAACTCCTCATTACAGTGACGATGTTTTGCCCTCAAGCGCAATGAGTTACTCCAACAATGAAGACTCTCCGTCTAGGACGGGGCGGGGCGCCACACCCGACGCATCCTCGCATAGATCAATCAGTCCCCCGGCACTCCGACCGGATGAGGCAGTTCAGCGAGCCAAGAAGGTGTCCGAGGAATTATCAGCAGTCAACATACCCAGCCACGTCACTGACACGGGCGACCTGATGCTCGACATGACGGGTTTGAAAAGCAGCGAGGAGGATGCCATCAAAGCCGAGATCCTCGCTCGAGATATTTTGGCCAAGGAGATGGAGGGCGACTACGATATTGGCGCCTTGTTCGGTATGGACGAAGAAGGAAACCTGTGGATTTACAGCAGTGAGGATGCTAAAGAAGCTGCCATGAAGAAGACTGTTGCTTCGCTGCGCCCTTCAGCCACGTTACCAATTGATGCGGCCTCGGATCCAGGCTATGCTAGTGACGACTCTGCCACCTCGGCTCCAGAACCGTCTCACAGGCGCAGTGAATCTGATGCTGGTCAAATGAGTGTGGGAACTCCACCCACTACTCCTGGGTCCTCAACACACGCTGGAGATCCCAATCGAAATTATGCCAAAACTCTTCGTCTGACGAGCGATCAGCTGAAGGACTTGGAGCTCAAGCCGGGCGAGAACTCCATGTCCTTTACAGTAAACCGCGCTACTTGTCAGGCAAACATGTATCTATGGAAACATGATACACCAGTTGTCATTTCCGATATTGACGGCACAATCACCAAGTCCGACGCTTTGGGCCACGTGCTCAACATGATTGGGCGAGACTGGACACATGCTGGTGTAGCCAAGCTATACAGCGATATCGTTGCAAATGGCTACAACATTATGTATCTTACCAGTCGCTCCGTCGGCCAGGCAGACACAACACGAGCATACTTGAACGGTATCGTCCAGAACGGGTACCGACTTCCTCGTGGACCGACTATCTTGTCTCCGGATCGTACCATGGCCGCTTTGCGTCGAGAGATCTACTTGCGCAAGCCTCACGTCTTCAAAATGGCCACGTTGCGTGACATACGCAACCTGTATGGGCCTGACAGCCACTGTTTCTACGCCGGTTTCGGAAACCGATTAACGGATCAGATCTCTTACCGGACCGTCGATGTCCCTCGGAATCGCATCTTCACCATTAATTCGAATGCTGAAGTATCCCTCGACCTCTTATCCTTGAATAAACTCAAGCTGAGCTATGTGAACATGACTGAGGTTGTCGACCATTACTTCCCGCCGATTTCTACCCTTGTTAAGGGCGGCGGTGAGGAATACACTGATTTCACGTACTGGCGAGACCAGCCACTAGATATGGATCAATTTAGCTTCAGTGAAGATGAGGATGACGAGGCGTATGATGAGGATGCCGATGAAGATGAGGATGTTGGCAACATGGGCGACAGCTACCTCTCACGCGGAGATGATGATGAAGCCACGGAGAGTATCTTTAGCGGCAGCGGCGTGTATGAGGATGAGCAACAGATGATGAATTCAATGCTTCAGGGCGAAGATGATGCCGACGACGAGGATGACGAAGAGTTGGAACAGGAAGAGGAGGAAGCGGAAGACGATGAGGAGGGAATCAATGAGGAAGAGCAGCTGACACAATCGGTCGAGATGGGCGATGCGCTCCTTGATGTTGAAATTAGCAGGGGAAACAGCGGTTCTGATGCTCCGTCGGCCGATATCAACGCTGAGATCATTACAGGCTTGCAAAACCTGGGCGTCGAGAAGGATGCGAAGCCGAACGGTATTGAATAAGAACCTTGGGGTTGGAATCGGCTCGACTCGGCAGCTGCGGACATCTTCAACATATCCGCCATGGCATTGACCTCCGAGCCGGGAAACACGCGCGAAGAAATCATATCTTATGCATAGCGAGGCGTTCACATCTCCTTCTAAAAGGATAAAATCATGGGATTTAGGGGTCATCTTAAGCGATAGAATGTAGAATATATTTTAATCCATTGTTCTCTACCTTTCAAAGTGATTACCACTTGATGCAGGAAAAGTTTCTCGTGATCCTTTTTTTTTTTTTTTTTTTTTTTTTGCATTGAAACTGCTCTTGTAATAAATAAGTGTTCAGGCACCACGATGCGTGTCAGTGATTAAATAACGCAGGACACGTCAAGAAATGGATTCATGTTTCTTTAAAATAATAACCCATGAGGACAAGCCAGAAAATGCATCTCATTTTCGCAGTCCATTTCTTATATCTTCGAGCAAAGACTGCTTGAGCTGCTCTTCCAAGTAAATGTCTCGGGGCCTTTCCCGTCGGCCTCCATTTTTTGCTGGACATTTTAAAAACGAAACCCCAAGCAAGCACAGTGAACGCCAAATAACGCCTGTACAATGTGATCTTCACCACAAACCCCTGGCCCCTTGAGAATGCCGAGAAATCATGGTATCAAACGTTTTGGTGGGAGTCCTTATTCCATGCCCTCCATATCCTCGTCGCCTTCCATATCATCACCGAGCAGTTCATCCAGACCGCCGGGCTCTGCGCCATCTTTGGTGTCGGGCTCTTTCTTAACGACCTCGACACCTTCCATGGCGTCTTCCATTTGATCTTCCTCGTCATCATCGTCGTCATCGCTCCCCTCGGCCCAGGTATCCCTCAGACCCCATGGCATGCCACTGAGAACAAAGCGCTCGTTGGGCAAGCGAACACCCCACTCGTGCGCCATGACACGGGGAAGCTGCACCTTGTTGCGCTCCTTGGCCAGCTCCAGCAGCCAGTCCTTGCTGGCGCCGCCCCCGCCGCCCCCGCCCGCGCCCGAGCCGCCACGGAACGAAAAGGCTTGCCGGCTAGCAATGGCAATGTTAATGGCGTTGGCGCTGACCGAGGCATCGGTGTTGCTCGGGGCCGAGGGGACCACGCCGGACGCGCCCGAGGGCTTGGCGCCGGCTTGCGTGGTGTAGGGGTCCGAGGCGAGGTGGAGGGCATCCGAGAGGATCGAGGACGTGTGGCGGTAGGCAAAGTCGAGGAGAAGCAAAGGGACGCGCTGGTCGTACGAAGTGACGCCTTGGCTTGTCAGGAGCAGCTCTATTGTCCTGGCATCGCGAGGTCGGGGCGCAGAGGTTGTGGGGGATGTTGGTCCGTTTGCTGGTGCTGGTGCTGCTGCCGGCGCGCCGCTACCGGTTGCTGTTGCTTGTGAAGCAGTCGCAGTAGTGGTCGACTGTGATGGTTGGGTCTGTGACTGCGAGGGACCTGCTGATGAGGCAGGTGGGACGCCGTTTGGCTGTGATGATGAAGCTGTTGTAGCCATTGCTATCTGCGGCCGTCGCAAGACAGTTGTCAGGCAGGGACGGCTGGATGCGGTTTGCAAGTGGCGCTACAGCTTTTCAAGCTTGAGCTGCCTGGTAATTGTTGGAGATGTATTGTCGCGAATATCGTGGCGAATCGGGAGGATTTAACAAAGATGAATGCTGCTGCTGCTTCTTTGCGTACCCGGCGCCACGCGAGAGATCTACATACAGCGGAGTCGCAAGGAGGTGATGCTAACGGCGGAGCAGTTTGATTTGAGTCTTCGGCAATGGGGTTGTTTGAATGAATGCGGTGCTGGTTCAATGGAAGAAGAAAGTCAATGAGCGCCAGAGTCGTAGTTTGATTTTGCGAAAAGTCAATCGTCAGTAGAAGCAAGCAGGTTGTGAGAGTTCGAGCATATGTTGGACTGATGTAGAATGTAGCCGGTAGGTCCCCTGTAGTACAATTCAATGTCAGACAGCAGCTACTCTACCTACCAAGGTCGCGGTCCTGCTGTCTAGCCTTCGCCGCCGCCCAGACTCAACTTCACGTTGGCCGAAAGGACCCACCTCCAGCAAAAACTGCGGAATGCAACGGCCGATAATCCGCCGTGTTGTGCACGGATCGCACCTTAAATGACCATTGGGCGATGCAGGACAGGCCCGTTGAGTGTGTGAGATCGCCTATCGGATGAGTTCAGCACTATTTTGGTGCTAGCGAGAGATGTGTCATGGAGGGGCATATTTTCAGTGCCCCACCTACTGCGAAAACCGCCTGCAGCAGCCCTGGGCGGCGAGGCCGGTCGGACGTCACTCAGTTGAACTTTTTTGTTATAAGTCAATGAGAGTAAACACCAATCGCTTTCCCTGCTCTTGACGCATTTTCTCGTTGAAATTTCGCTCTCTTCTTTTTTTCAATTATACCATGGAGACAACATTACCACTACCGTTCCTTGTGGGTGTCTCTGCACCGCCGGATCTGGCTCCCGGCGAGGGTCTCACCAGCAATGAACTCTCGTGCTTGGGCTCTGTATTCTTTGATGTGACTCAGCAGAACTTGGACGAGGTTCTCAACTTCCTCGCTCAGCACAACTCGAGCCACCAAACATTTGTTGACGCCACCGACCTGGACTCCAAAGACAGTGTCGTCTCCGTCTTGGACCACGGCGCAAAGAAAGTTTTTGTGCAACCCGAGAGGTTATCCGACTTTGCAGACTTCAAGGGTAGAGTTGCGCCCGCCGTTACCAAGACGAGCGAGCTCAAGGCCGCAACTCAATATGGTCTTTTGTTGAAGGACTTTGACCAGACGAGGTGCGATGTTGCCGAGTTTCTCGAAAAGAACAAGACAAAGAAGACCCCGCCAATCTATATCAAACCTGCTGCCGAGAGGACAGTATACGAACACTTTGTCGATATCTGTGCGCAGATCTCGGCTATTCCCATCCTGCCGTCAACGGCCCTAACTACTGACAAGAATGACGACAAGAAACTCTTCGTCTCTAAGCTATTGTCAGGATCTTGGTCCTCGGATCGCTCTGACAAGCTTATGCCAACCGTTGTGTGCGATGAGAGGGGCGTTGCCCTGGGCCTGGTCTATAGCAGCGAGGAGAGTGTGGCCGAGTCTCTGAGAACCCAGACTGGTGTATACCAAAGCCGGAAGCGAGGACTGTGGTACAAGGGCGCCACATCAGGAGACACTCAAGAACTTGTCCGCATTTCTTTGGACTGTGATAACGATGCACTCAAGTTTGTTATCAGACAAAAGGGCAGATTCTGTCACCTGGATCAATTTGGCTGCTTCGGAGACTTGAAGGGCATTTCAAAGCTTGAGCAAACTTTGGTCTCAAGAAAACAATCAGCGCCCGAGGGTTCATACACCGCTCGCCTGTTCTCAGACGAGAAATTGTTGCGCGCCAAGATCATGGAAGAAGCCGAAGAACTTTGCGATGCCAAAACCCCCGAAGATGTGGCTTTTGAAGCTGCTGATTTGATCTACTTTGCCCTCACAAAGGCTGTCAGCGCGGGAGTTAGCCTGGCAGACATTGAGAGGAACCTCGATGGCAAGAGTCTCAAGGTCAAGAGGAGAACCGGTAACGCCAAGGGTAAATGGGCTGAAAAGGAGGGCATCACAAATGGTACTGCGGACAAGGCACAGGAGGCTGCAAAGCAAGCCCCAGCAGCAGCACCACTCACATCGGCACCCGCAACTGAGGCCCAGACTGCGCCTTCGTCGGACAGAATCACCATGAAGAGACTCGACGTTAGCAAGATTGGCGCCGCCCAGGTTTCGGAGGCCCTGAAGAGACCCTCGCAGAAGTCAGCCGACGCAATTCTCGGCATAGTCAAGCCCATCATTAACGACATTCGAGAGAATGGTGACAAGGCGCTGTTGTCGTACACTCACAAGTTTGAGAAGGCCACATCACTGACGTCGCCAGTGCTGAAGGCTCCATTCCCCAAGGAGTTGATGCAACTTCCCGAGGAGACCATCAAGGCGATTGATATCTCTTACGAGAACATTCGAAAGTTTCACGCCGCCCAGAAAGAGGATAAGCCCCTGCGAGTCGAGACCATGCCGGGAGTCATCTGTAGCCGATTTGCCAGGCCCATTGAGCGTGTCGGTCTGTATGTTCCCGGTGGTACCGCCGTTCTGCCCAGCACAGCACTCATGCTGGGAGTTCCCGCAATGGTTGCCGGCTGTGAGAAGATTGTCATTGCATCCCCGCCCCGCTCTGATGGCAGCATTACTCCCGAGATTGTATACGTTGCCCACAAGGTCGGTGCTGAAAGCATTGTCCTTGCTGGAGGCGCTCAGGCCGTGGCAGCCATGGCGTACGGTACCGAGAGCGTCACCAAGGTCGACAAGATCCTGGGACCCGGTAACCAGTTTGTTACCGCCGGTAAGATGTTTGTGAGCAACGACACAAACGCCGGCGTCGGTATTGACATGCCGGCTGGTCCTTCCGAGGTTCTGGTCATTGCTGACAAGGACGCCAACCCGGCTTTCGTGGCATCTGATCTTTTGTCTCAGGCAGAGCATGGCGTCGACAGCCAGGTCATCCTGCTTGCCGTCGATCTCAACGAGCAACAGCTCCAGGCTATTGAGGACGAGCTGCACAACCAGGCCATGGCTCTGCCCCGTGTTGATATTGTCCGAGGCGCCATCTCTCACTCTGTAACCATCCAGACTAGGGATATCGATGAGGCCATGCGCATCAGCAACGAATATGCACCCGAGCACTTGATTCTGCAGCTCAACAATGCCGAAGAAGTCGTCGACAAGGTCATGAATGCTGGAAGTGTTTTCATTGGCCAATGGACCCCCGAAAGCGTGGGCGACTACTCTGCCGGTGTCAACCACTCTTTGCGTAAGTTTTGTCCTCTAATTCATACGTTTGAGAACTACATATGACCGCACAACTTCGTGACCGGCCTTGTCTTTTGAATAAATAATTAAGACTAACACCAATGTATAGCAACCTATGGGTACGCAAAGCAGTACTCTGGCGTCAACCTCGGCTCGTTTGTCAAGCACATTACGAGCTCGAACCTTACAGCCGAGGGTCTGAGGAACGTTGGCCAGGCCGTCGAGCAGCTCGCAAAGGTTGAGGAGCTCGAAGCCCACAGGCGGGCTGTCAGTATTCGTCTTGCCAGCATGCAAAAGTAACTGGATGCCTCGTCGTGAGAAGCGTAAATACTGCTGCAGGTGGTGAAAACGTACTTTGATAACCATATAGACATAAGCGAGTGATGATATGAGGCAAGAAAAATTGGTTCACAAAATATCAAGAATATATGTTCATCCAGATTACAACCTTTCAAATGTTCAAAGCAATGGAATTATTATAGTCTAGAGAGTTTCCTGGCCAACCCAGAAAACCGAGGCGATTGCTTTGATAACTGTCTATTTGAACATGAGCATGCCCTCTATATGAGGAAGTATGCCTTGTATGCCGATGCTGCGAACCAAGACAACTTTCGTCTGGAATCCATTTAATAGCCCCCAGTAAAACTCCGAAATGCGAAAGACAAAGTAAACCTCAATGCTTCACAGCCCTGTCTAACTATCCTGTATCCTGTCCTTCAGAAAACAGTCACAGCGCTCACATACCCATTCTTCAGTACCTCGAACACCAGACCTGGAAATCCATAGAGCGTAGTGGTTGAATCCTCGTTGCCGTCGAACTTTCTCGCTGCAACGCCTCCGCTACTGTCCTCCCAACCGCCTAGGAGCTCGCAGCTTGAGCCGGTACTATCGCCCCAGCCTCGGTTGAGCACCATGCCCCGCTGACGTTTGTGTGCTTCTGAATCCGACGGGTACGTGCTCTTCCACTCTTCTCGCAGACGCTCTTCAAGATCGTTGAATTTGGTCTCCGAGTCCGCCGAGGGTGCATCTGACGATAGTGTAGACAGGTATGCAATCTCCCAGCGGCATCTTCTGTGCCGATTGAAGGGATATGATCCAGGGATATTGGCATGCAATATGACTTTGGAGGCGACAAGTCGATCGGGGCTTTCTGTCCGCACTCCCTTGTCGTTGGGATATGACTCGTTGTTCATACTAGTTTCTTGCGATGGAGGTGCTGGCGAGGGTGTAACAGGAGGAGAAATAAGAATGTCAAAGCCCAAGTAAAAGTAGTTATAGAAGCACTCTTTCGAGACATTTCCGACAAATTCGTCTTCCAGGGTGTCCTCGTCCGTCTCATCGGAGCCCGTGTGCACTGATGACTGGTCCGTGTCAGTCAAATCATCGCCACGTTTATACTCCCGACCAGTCGACCTGGACCTGCTGTGGCTTGCCGTCCGATCCTTGTGGATATACATCCTCTGATCACTCTTGCGATAAATGGCGTCGGGAGGCCCTAATTCTCCAACAAGATCCTGAGGCGTCGTCTCTCCCAGAGTTATCCACACGGAAGAGGGCGTCCATTTCTTGAACAACTGTAGCTTGCCACCTCCGTGGATCTTGACAAGAGAAATCTCATCGGGGACGACGTCTTTACTCTTGTTGAACAAATAAGTCGAGTTGATGCTCGGGAGCACCTCGGTCCAGAGCGCGTCTCTGGCCTCCGCCCATGACTTGCCGTTGAAGATGGCCATAGAACTGGCTGTTTGGCTCTGCGTGGATGCCAAGAGGGAGACCACGTCCTTGTCAGGCGAGTATCCCGAGACGGGAAGTGGGAAGCTGAAAGCGACTCCGGGATATGACAAGATATATGTTCCCATCTGGCTCGAGTCATCACTTGGTGGTATATATTCGCCAGCATATGTCGGACCCATCAGCCTATGATAAATCGTCCTAAAATTTGGGCCAGTAGTTGACTCGCCGCCGCCGCCGCCCAGCCTCGGAGAGGCGACGCCCTGATCTGTAGGAGGCTTGACTATATCCTTCTCGGGGTGCCCATAAGTAATCCGATTCTTGGTAAAGTCGATCACTTCGATCAGTCGCAGGCGCTGCTCGGAGCCGTCGAAGCGAAGTCTGATTCCGTTGGCGGGCAATTCGAGCACGACAGGTTCGGTGACAGGCTGTTGTGGATTATGCATCAAGTTGAGCTTCGGGAAACGTTGAGGCTCGGCTTTCAGTCGGGTCAGGATGTCATGCAGTGAGGCACCGAGCACTGCAACAACGTATTGGTCAGTGGAAATGGGCTTCTGGGCAGGCCGTGAGCTTACTCACCAAAGGGACCGAGCCCCAGACCAGGATGTAGCGTCGCGGTGAACAAGGACGCCATGCTGTCCACTTATCGAGATGCTATTTGGTGGTTGGGCATCAGGTTTTGGAGTATAGTGCTTGCAGAGAAACTCCGGATGGCTCTCAGGGCCATGTAAGTCACGATAGTACAGGAGGTAGTGCTGTCGCAGCGGTTGAGGATTGAAGAGAATCCGTATGCGGATGGATAACGGTGATTTGATTATGCAAGATGGCTCTACATCTGGGTTCTGTTCAGCTGTGTGGACGGTGTCTGATTACTAGCTGAAGGTATGCCTCAACTTGGTTTGTCATTCAAGGTCATCTGGAGATAGGTAGGCGCGGGGCTGATGCTTTACTCGAACGTCATTTGATGTGGTTGATCACAGGGTCCCCTCTACAGGCCAGGCGCGGGGGGGCCAGCGGATAGCGGGGGCTTATGTACGATACAACCTTGCACTACAATCGATATGCAAGGGGTTCAGGTGTCAAGAATGTATGGAGTACTACAGGTACCTTACAGTATGGGATACCTCCTACTGCATCTTATTCGGGGCTAATATTACACAGGTCTGTCGTTCTTTGGAAACATTACTTATTCACACCAAGTTCCTACAGCCTATAAGAGATATACATAAGTCATACTACGAGGAGTAGCCAACATGGAAAGGCCATGAGTGTCCATATGCAAGCAGTAACGGCACGGATATCCAAACTCCATCCAAAATATTCGATCTACAGAGTAGAAAGTCCATTATGAACACCCGTAATTCATCTAATCTAGGCGACTCGAGAACAAAAGCTGGAGTAGATATATCCGTAAAGAAGCGGATCGAAAATAGTAGGTGGGCAGATTCATAATGATGCATCAAGTAACCAAGTGCTCAAATGAAAACTTCATACGAGCAGGGCAAGGCAATGTTGTAACACTGAAAGCGTAGGCTACCTAGGTATAGCTCTTCATCATGTTGTAGTCTGCAGTTTTTCGGCTGCAGCTTGTGCGATACAAGAAGCTTCTCGGCCTCCGTCGCAGAAGACCAGTCATACTACTTGGTCAAAGAAGTCGCATGATAGTATTCTATGAGGTTTTATGGAATTATACCAAGACAAGATGGAGAGACGATAACAGCCGCAGGACACACCTAAATTAGCAGTGAGAAGCGCCATGGACCCCGCTATACCTAGTAGTAGGTAGCTGAACGGATACGGACTCTGGAGTACTGAGGTGAACCTTCCCCTATTTGGCGTGGCTGGCTTTATCCCAATTGATTGTTGCCAGGGTGACGGGCATCTGGGGCCCCACCTTCAAGGTTCTTGTTGATGAGAAGGAAACTGCTAAGGTACAAATCCACACCTTGAGCCCTGCCACGCCTTCATCCCGCGCGCTGACACGATCTAGCAGCCGAACTCAGACAGGCCGCGGCAGACATTCAACTATCGACAGTATCTCACCACAAGCTCCAAATTGCAGCACTTCTTGTTTTGTCCATGCTTTTCTTGACACTCATTTCGTTTTGGCTCACGACCGATACCCGAATGTAGCGCGTCTGCTAGTTTTGGTTATTTTCAACACAAAAAAGTAAACACAACAGCATTTTCATCATTACCTGACCTGGTTCCTCACATTGGCGCGACGCCCGTCAACATGCAAAAGGGCTCCACGCGGAGCTCGAGAGCCTCGATGGCCTCGTCGTCGACAAGTGCACGAACCGGCGTGCCGGCGCGACCAGGCGTGAGGCAGACGACAACCCGCGCATCGTCCCTCAGGCCTCCGTCACATCATGCCATCCTAGCAGCCAAAATCGACCGAGCAGCGGCGCCCTCCCCAGCCGAGTCTCTTGCTTCTACCGCCACTGCCGGCCTCAAGCGCAAAGAACGCGAATTCGATATAAGCGCTATCGGCGAAGAGACAAATATCAATGTCGTTGTGCGATGCCGGGGTCGCAACGACCGTGAAGTCAAGGAGAACGGCGCCGTCGTTGTACAGACTGAAGGTGCCAAGGGCAAGTTGGTCGAGCTCTCCATGGGCCCAAACGCTCTCACCAATAAGACATATAATTTCGACCGCGTCTTCTCCCAGGCCGCCGATCAGAGCATGCTCTACGAAGATGTGGTCAAGCCAATTCTTGAAGAGGTAAGCGCAAAACCGCCCGTGTCTCTGCTTGCATACATTGGATCTTCTAACGCGACGCAGATGTTGAGTGGAATGAATTGCACAATATTCGCATATGGCCAGACTGGAACCGGAAAGACGTACACCATGTCTGGAGATATGAACGACACGTTTGGCATCCTATCCGATAATGCTGGTATCATCCCTCGAGTCCTCCATTCTTTGTTTAAGAAGCTTGAGGGGGAAGGAATTGAAAGTTCCGTCAAGTGTTCTTTCATTGAACTCTACAATGAGGAGCTCCGCGATCTCATTGCTCGGGAAGAAAATACCAAACTCAAGATTTTCGACGACACGTCACGGAAGGGCCACGCCGGCACAATCGTGCAGGGAATGGAAGAGACTCATATCATGACGGCCGCGCAGGGTGTCAAGCTTCTTCAGGATGGAAGCTTGAAACGCCAGGTTGCCGCCACCAAATGTAACGATCTCAGCAGTCGAAGTCACACCGTCTTTACCATCACCACTTACGTCAAAAAGAAGGGCGAGGATGGGGAGGACTACATTAGCTCTGGAAAGCTCAACTTGGTCGATCTTGCCGGCAGCGAGAATATTCAAAGATCTGGTGCCGAGAACAAGCGAGCCGCCGAGGCAGGTCTTATCAACAAGAGCTTGCTAACTCTTGGCCGTGTCATCAATGCCCTCGTCGACCGCAACGCGCATATTCCCTACAGAGAGTCCAAACTCACCCGACTTCTTCAGGACTCTCTGGGAGGCCGGACAAAGACTTGTATCATTGCGACAATTTCTCCAGCGAGGAGCAATCTCGAAGAGACTATCTCCACATTGGATTATGCTTTCCGTGCCAAGAATATCCGCAACAAGCCGCAATTCAACGCCCTCATCAACAAGAAGACATTGCTAAAGGAGTTTACGTACGAAATTGAGCGACTGAAGAGCGAGCTAATTGCAACAAGAACAAGAAACGGCGTTTATTTGTCCAATGAAAGCTATGAAGAGATGACCGTGGAGAGCGAATCAAGGAGGATACAAACCGAGGAGCAAGCGGCCAAGATTGGCACTCTGGAGTCGAATCTAAAAAACAAGGTCCAGGAGCTCTTTTCTCTGACATCCAATTTCATGGGCCTGAAGAAAGACCACGAGGACACCAGGCTGCAGCTGGATGACACAAAGGGTGTGCTCAACCAGACTGAGGTGGTACTGGCAGCAACGCGAAAATCACTCGCTGAAGAGACGCATATCCGCAAGGCTCACGAGAAGACAGAGCAAGAAATGCATATTATTGGCGATCAGTTAATTTCGACACTTCAGGAGACGGTTAGCCATGTCGGTGGTTTACGGGCGAAGAACAAGCGGAAATCCGACCTCCAGTCCCTGAACCGTGGCACCTGGGAAGTTGCCCAAGACCAGGTCGCCGATGTCACTTCTTTAGTGGAGAATCGTGTCCAAGAGTTCCAAGGCGAGCAAGAAGAACATATTGCCAATATTTCTCAAAGAATGGAATATTTTGTGCAGGGCGAGGTCCAAAAGCTCTCATCGACTCAGGCGTTCCTCAACGCAAATCTGGAGCAATTCCTTCAGTCTAGAGACAGCCTCGTGTCTCAAAAGGAGGAATCCAAGAAGGAAATGGACGAGGTCCTAGAGGAGATCAAGGAGGTTCGAGACAATATCAAGGAGAGGGTTGGCGAGAGCCTCCAGAGCATCGCTGCAGCCGCCGAGAAGATTGCTCAGGACGTCCTCAGTGAACTTGGTACATTCCACAACCAACTCCATGCTTCGTACTCCTCACTGGGCAAGGACTTCAAAACGATTTTCGAAGCACTCATGAGACACATCACTAGCCAGAGGGAAGAATCCGACAGCCTGAGAGAACAGCTTAAGGATGCTGGAGACATAATTTTGCGCTCGAACGAGGGCATTGCGGCCAAGATTCAACAAGTCATTGAACAGGAGCGAAGGCAAGCTGCTGAGGAGCGAAAGAATCTTCTATTGCAGATCACGAGCCTAATCAGTTCCCAAGCTGAGTTGCAGGAGTCTCGTCTGGCCGACAAGGCTGCAGACATTCAGCGGAGCGTCCGGGAGACAAATACAGAGTTCGAGGGCAGCATGGCCGTATACTCTCAAGCGATGGATGAATGGGGCGGTAGAGAGTCCCAGCTGATGAGTGATGTTTCAAAGTCACGAGAAACTTTGAAGACAAAGCTCAAGGACGATTGGAATGTAAGTTCACTGGAATCTCTCCCATGCAGCCGAGAAACTGACATGAATCACAGACGGCAAACGAGCATAGCACATCCATACAAGGCACCACGAAATCAGTGCACGCCGAGACAGTACGGGTAGTCGACGAGCAAATGAGGGACTTGGACGAGCAGATGACTGCGCTCGATGACTTCGTGACGCGCGCTAGATCACAGAATGCCGCTCATCATGATGAGCACGTCGCGTCGTTCACAAAGCTCTCGGGGACTGTGGAAGGCTCGTATGGCAACATTCGATCGCACTTTAAGGACACATGTTCGCGTGTTGAGGATCTCGCTGCAGACATGGAAGCGACAATCGATACAGCCATGGATGCCCTGGAACCGCTGGATGAAAATATGTGCAGACCATTAGCAACTCTTCGTGAAGAGATTTCTGCAACGAAGCTGCAAGAGTATCAACCGACGGGCAGTACGCCGCAGAAGATGGTTTACGAGTACCCAACCAGCCTTCCGCACACCAAATCGCACTCGGCACTCATCAATGAATTACACGGCGGCTCATCGCCGAGCAAGTCGTCCGTAGCTAGCAGCGGGGGCGTTTTTGCTGATGCAGACATGACCATCACGGAGGATCGCTCGCCATTACGCCCAGGCTCGTCGGAATCGTCTGCCTCGCGGCAACCACTCTCCATGAGCCTTCGCGAAGTTCATCCAAACGTGAATGGAGCATCGACCTTTGGATTTGAACAAGCAAGCCCAGTTAATGCAACCCAGACATTCAGCGCAAGTATCGGACCAGGAATCATCAGTAACACACCTTCAGATCATGACAGTACACCGCCGCTGTATAAGAAGAGCAAGATCATGCGGACGGCCAATCTCGGCAAAAGGACGGGCGCGGTGTTACCAGCTGAGGGCCGCGAAAATATGCCCCCAGTGGATGGTGCCGGAGAAATCTTTGCTCAGAGTAGCTCGAGGAGAAAGAGCCCCCGGCTTGCACGCTAACTGGACACTCGCCATTACTTGGGAGTTGTCAGTGGTGCAGGAGACGAAGAGGATTGGAAGGACCAGCCTTGGCGATATAGGTGGTAATAATCCCCCAGCCATCTCTGGAATTATTATTATTATTCCAAAGGACACTAGCAAATCATGATGATCATTTTGTTCTTCAGAACCGATTGGAGTACAGGAGTTCTGTGGTCTTTTCAGGACAGCCGAAAGGGGCGGGAGGGAATCAATGGAAGTGATGTTTTGCTATCATTACGGCAGGCATAGCAAGTATGCTAGATACCCATGTTCATTTTTGCCTTTGTAGAAACAGTCAGGGTCGTACGACATATATTTCCCTTTTCTCAAATCATTACAAGATCTTTCATTAGTGACATGTGGGTCGCAGGTTTTCCTTAAGAATAGTTCGTGATACCAAGATAATTAAAAGCCGATAAAGCTGAGCATACAGGGAGTGTATGTAGGTTCGTCGTCGGATTTGAAAAAAAAAAAAATGTTGCCAAAAGTTGGTGAATAATCAACGAGATGCCCAGCGTCCTATTTTACTTCTGCCGTATGCTGTGTGGTCCCGTCGTGCTGCATAGGGATACAGTATATTGGCTGCTCACCACAAAAGACCCCGCAGTGTACAGCACGGATGGAGTACTTGGTGCTGTACTTTAACATGATTACATCAATGAGGGGCAGCTGTGGTTGCTACCTGAGGTACATGTTGCTCAAGCTGTTTCAAGCTGGAGCTTCCCTGACCTTGCCCGTGAAGCTACATTAGAGCTCTTCACAAACATCCAATACTACATACCATCTCCCGATTGTGCTAGAGCCAGCCGCTTTGATACTCTTTCAAGGTATTTTTTGATCAATCAAAACACCCCCAAGTAAGGAACCAGACTTGAGAGACCATGGCGCAAAAAGGGACGCGTGCTGCGAGCCATGCAGGCAGCTGGTATGAGGGCCGGGCAAAGGTGCTCTCAAAGCAGCTTGATGGTTATCTGGCAGATGTGCCTACCACCTTGGACAGCAGCAGCTTGCCTATTCCCGGCGCGAGGGTCGTCATTGCACCGTGAGATGCCCAGCCCCAGCTCATGATCTTCTTTTGAGGAAAAAGAAACAAGGTTATTCTACCGTGCTGGCCAAAGTGCAATACTAACCTGGCCGTCTTTTGCCCCGCAGACACGCCGGATACAGCTACTCGGGGCCCTGCGCTGCGTGGGCGTACAAGGCGCTCGATCTCAGCAACGTCAAGCGAGTCTTTGTGCTGGGACCGTCGCACACGTACTACCTCAAGGGATGTGCTTTGACCCGGTATGCAAAGTACGCCACGCCGTTTGGCGATCTGGTGGTGGATGAGGCCATCACCAAGGAGCTCCGGGATACGGGCAAGTTCTCGGACATTCGAACGAGTGGTGGTGAGGACTGTGACGTCGAGGAGCACTCTCTCGAGATGCACCTGCCCTACATTTACAAGCGGTGTAGCCAGACGTTTGGGTCCGAGTCCGAGTACCCGACCATTGTTCCGATCCTGGTCGGCGACAACAAGGGTCCCGAAGAGAAGGCGTTTGGTGAGCTGCTGGCGCCTTACTTTCGCGACCCCGAGGCCGCCGTCGTTGTGAGCTCCGACTTCTGCCACTGGGGCCGTCGTTTCCGCTACACGCCGCACACCAAGGGCAGCCCTATTCACGAGCACATCAAGGATATCGACCACCAAGCCATGGATGCGATCAAGGGCGGCCGGCACGATGACTTTGTCGAGAACCTGGCCAAGACTGAGAATACCGTCTGTGGCCGGCACCCCATCGGTGTGACCATGGCGGCCCTCGAGGTCCTGGCAAAGGAGAAGGCGGAGGAGACGGATAAGTACCGATTCAAGTTTGTTCAATACCAGCGGAGTGGGCTGGTTGAGGATATGGGTGACTCGAGTGTCAGCTATGCGTCGGCCTATGCCATCATTTAAAGTGTCAATGATCGGCATAGTATCTAGAGAGGGCTACCATGGCTTCTAGGCTGTATCATGATAGAAGGGTGACGGTGGAAGATTTACTTGACATAAATGATCACAACTACTTTACCACTGAAAACAAAATTTTGAAATTTGCTTTCTTCAATCGCAATTTTTTTTTTTATTTTTAAATAACGTACCTAACAGTCTTT